CCAAATGTCAATATTGTGTTGAAATATATTGATTGAATCAGTTTAAATTGGGAGTAAATTTTTATTTTCATGGAATTACGGTGTGTACTTTGTCCTTAAAACACCAATTAAAAACTATATAATGTAAGTCTCAGGGAAAATGAGACTCAACTTAGGGACACTCTTGATGCACCAATTATGTCCACATCTTCAGGTCGCGCTGTAATTCCATTTTCAGCAGCACAAACTTCAATTATCACATGAGTAGAATTTCTACACCAACTGAAATACTGAACACTGCACAAAAACAAGGAATAAGGGGAATTTTTTAAAGACAAGGGGAAATTCCATCTGCTTGATTGTTAATTGATTCCTTCCAGTTTCCATGTTCCACAAAATTGTGGGTTCCTATAGATGATGCTATGTTGGTGAAACTTGCTACACACTCAACCTGCTGCAAGCTGTTGAACTTATTGCAGCTGTTACAACTTGCCACACTGTTAACCATTGGGCAGCGGCAGGTTCTTTTGCATCATGCGGTAGTGCCAGAATTTACTTGCAGGCAACTGCATTTTGGTTTTATAAATCCCCAAAAAAGAAAGCCTTTGTTCCCCTAATCCCTCAATGCAAATCTTACAACAGGAATGCAGAAAAAATGCCACCCAACAGTAATTTTTTTTTCAAAACAAATGCTAAAAATTTTTTGGGATTTTGCCCAACTTCAGCTCTTCTGTTCATTCTTGTTTCCCTCTTTTTTTTCTGCTCCTTTTGGTATAAAGTTCTGCAGATAATCCTGGCACTGTCACCCTTGGGTTAACTTGCTGTTATGGTAAGTCACTGCTGGTGAAAGTTGCCACTGCAACAGCTCACCAATGTGATGACTTGCTGCTGCAACAGTTCACTGCTGCAATGACTTGCCATTACACAACTTGCAGTGAGTTCATTGCCACATTTCTCTCACCTCATTCACTTCATTTTTTCTCTCTTTGAAAATTAAAATATTATTTTCTTCATTCAGAAGAAAAATGAATTCCCACAATCTTCCACTTCTTTAATCTGCATAAAGAAATAAATGATATACATTTCTGCGGTTTAGGAAGATTTTCAACAAATTTGAAATATCTAGCATAAAATGGAGTGCAGTGAATGGCCAAGTGCAGTTACTTTGGTGAGCTTGATGTGGAACTGGCAGTTTTTAAATTTATGTGTGCTTGGCTTTTAATTTTCATTGTATATAAGCCACAATGACTTTGCTCATGATCTGTTATATTTACTTACACTTTCAAGTTAAGCATGGATCTTCTTAAAAGCCAATGTGGGCATGATAAGGTTACCTGTGATGGCTATATATTTATGTGAACATAAACAACTAAGAACTGTTTATATTATCAAGTACAGCAAGTTTCAACAGCAGCAAATTGTAACTGCTGCAAGTTTTGACTGTGGTGAAAAATGATTGCAGCAACTTGTTACCACTGTCATTTATTGCAGCAGCAGCAAGTCAGGATGTGGCAAGTTGAGGTGCAGCAAGTTCAACTGTGGCAAATTTCACCAGCACCATTCCTGACGATGCCTGGAAACTTTAGTAAACATCTTGAAACTGCAGAAATATGAGAGAAGAAAGGACTTGAGAAATCAAACACAAATGCTAGTTAAGTAAAATTCAAAAATTCGTATTTTGAAAATTAATGTCAAGAAACAGACTCTTGAAACTATACTAGAACAAGAGATGTAAGATCAAATTTGTCTCCCACCCCCAGCTTCTCACTGAAATTATTTTTGTCATCAACCAATCTTTAAAAATTCTATAAAAAGAACTAATACTTCCACAGAGAATTGAATTTTCAATTTCTGGATTTTCTTCTCATTCCAATGTCAGAACTCTTGATCCCTAACTAATTTTTATAAGAAAAAAAATGCAAGTCTTCAATCAAACTTCTCGGGGAAACACAATATATTGTACTACAGTAAATGACAAACCTTTAAAACATTGGTCGCGACACAACCTTGGCTTTTCTGCTCCATATACAAAATTCCTTCTTTGACAAAAAAGAATTTCGAATTGTCGGAGGAAATTGCCCATGACCTATGCCCTCCGCCGCAATCCACTCTCCAAATTTCCTCGCCTTGTTCATCATGAATAACACAGTACCTCTGAAAAAAATGAGATTCACAAAGAAATTATAGACTCTTCTTCAAAAGAAAATAAACATTCACAATCAATCGTATACTAACGGAATGGAACGTTACGATTCGCAATTCGTGATGGAAGACCGTAATGGACCCGATCCACTCGTGCTTTGATGAGCTTTTCTCCAGTAAATGCAACCTGAAAATACAGTACAGTAATAAAAAAATGAAAGAATACAATCAGTGCACTTCAATCAAATTCCATTAAACATGAATTGGAATTTCGCAAGGATTAATTCAATTATTCATACTTTTGAAAGGACTTTCGCCATATTCCCATGCAGTTTTAATCCGCAAAACTCGATGAATTGGCTTTGATTTAAGAAGAATGCTGTCACAGAGTTTTGAAAGTAGAGTATTTCACAAGGAAAAAGAATAAAGATATGACACAGAAATCGGTTGGGCTACAACCAGAGTGCTCCAGAACACCCTATTATAAAAAGTTGTATTCACAAGTTTTTCCAAGCAGTTTAGAACAGGTTTGCCAGTACTTTGTTTGTTCCGCACAGTACAATGGTTCAAGGGATAGTGATCCAAAATCCTGAGACGTTTCCTCAGGAAAAAAGGGTTTCTGTGGAAGTTTTCCACTGCAATTTTGGGCTAGATTACAGCTTCCGCCGTTAGGGTTCAATTACTGGGTTTCAAAGATTTTTTAGGACTTCAAGGACTAAAGGTCCGTTTTTTGGTTCTTGTGAGAATGGGTGAGAAACCCAATTCTCACGGAAGGATCCAAGGACGAGTTTTGGCAATTGCCGAAAATTGTCTCTTTATTACTTGCAATTCTAAAGGCGCCGGTTTGACGCTTTTCTCTTTGAGGATTAGGTTCAAAACATTGAGAATAGTGACATGAAAAATTACTTTCCATCAGCTCAAGGCTGGTGATTTAATTTGATATGCTTGGTTCTGCAGAAGTGACTCAGAAAATTTGCGACAAATGCTGCTGAGATAAATTTGATCTCAAACGAAAGGCTCAACCACTTCATGAAGCAGAACCATGGGGATTTCATATCTTACATAATATCGATTTTATGGTCCTCAAGGACTTGAGAGAAGAGAAATACTTTAAAAAATACTTTAAGATCTTCAAATCACACTTGAATACGAAGCACGGAAAAAAAGGCATCAACTTCTTCAACTGACAAAATTCAAATAACGCAGACTTTTGCGATTTCAAAGTATTTCATGAGTACTTCATTTTAAATCATATCGTCGCAGTGCCGAAAAAAAATTACTCCAACTTCTTCAGCAGCTCTTCAAAATCTCTAAAATATTTTCTAGATACTTCGAAAAACACTTGAAATTATATTGTAATACTAACCCAGTAGAATCCGCTTTCCACGCGAAAATGACTCCCTTTCTTCCAGCACCCCAAAAAACTCCTCTTCGTTCGTCAAAAACCAATGTAGAAGCACCGTGTTTGCCAAAAATGTTGCGTTTCTCAGTTCCCACAGCATTCCATTCATCACCCTGAGAAAAATTAATATACCATTGAAGAAATTCAAATTCCTCCAACATCAAAACTATTTTCCCAATTGAAAATACTGTATAAGATTTTACATGAAATTTTCTGAAACTTTATTCGTTCCCTTCGCAGAGAGACATTGAGAGAAGAGTAGCAAAGAACACACATAATTTCGTGTTCAAATGAAATGCTTTTGCACTACATCATCTTTATTGTTCAATATTTATAATTTAAATCATAACATTCATATTAATAATTTTATTGCTTTACATCATGGACGTGAACTCACAATTTTGTGACGATGGAAAAGCTGAATTGCTCCATCTCGGTAGCCCAGTAATATTTGCGTCAAATTTGTCGACACAGCAGCTGCAGTAGCCCACGTGGATTTCGCAGGACCATTTCTTTTCAGCAGGCTGATTTCTATTCCGAATACATAATGCACGTTTATTTTCTCTTTCAAATTTCAGATACTGTCAAAACCTTGATAAACTGCTACCATTTCTCTGTGAATTTGGGACGATTTAACGAGTTTTTGGCGGTTTAAAGGTGGTTGATTTTTCATAAAAAAAAACTAAATAATATGCAAACTAGGTACAATCGACAATAAAATTCTTGTTCTTCTAAAAAAAAATAATAACCGTGGGATCCAGAAATTATATCTAGCTAATGTTCCCAAGAAGTAAATCATGTCATGTCTCGGGTTTGTGCTTTTTTTCTAATCGGAGACCTCTCTCAAAAATTTGAATATTTTCGGTGGGCTATCAAAGACAAAATTAATTTCCTGGATGGAGCATATTTTATTCGTCAATAATTTTGGCGGATGGCGTTTTAACAGGGTTTCCAATGCTTAGCGACGATTTGTTTTTCAAAATAAATTGGCAGGTCATATTGTGAGGCGTTCTTTTCAACGGGGTTTGACTGCACAGTACTTGAATATTCATACGCTTTTCTAACTACTAGTGACATCTACCCACGCAAAAGCAATTAAAATCACACAAGACAGCTGGAGAAAAAAAAGAGGAAGAAGATGGAACTCTGTCGAACCTGTTCCAACGAGAACCGTTTGTCCTTCCGCATCCGAAACCAGAACATCTTCTCCCAGCCACTTGACGAAACATATCTTACTTCGACAAAATTCCCCCACGTCGACTTCCTTCCGATCATCGCACGTCCAACAACAATAATCCGTTTCCCGAAATTTCAAAAAAAGCAAAACCGGGCCAAGCCCGGCACACACTACGCGAAAACCTCCTCCTTCAGTCTCGCAATTAATCGCCACGTCCGAACAAGCGTAACTGTTCAACAGTGCCGACTCGTCGGATTCCCATTTGACTTGTCCGTTATTATTATCGAGACAAGACACTAGCTGGAGTAAACCGGAAACGCAGGTGACGAATAAGTGACTTCCGATATTGTCGACGCTATGAACTGAGCGAATGGCCGGGCCGGGCTTGAATCTGGTTCGAACGGCGGGACGTGGGTTCGGGAAATACTTGCAGGCCCCGTCTGATCCTCCAGTCACGAAAGCGTCCGAACTACAGTATAGAGATGAAATGAGAAAATTAGAATAAGGTACCATATTTATTCCTGTACCAGAGGGTTTTCCAGTCAAATTTTTCTATAAAATGCTATCCCAAGTAAGACGCCCACTCCAATTTCGGTGACTCTGAAACTGCAATATTTAAAAAATAATAACACCCAAATTTGAATATAGACATGGATTGCTCCAGAATTAAGCTAATTTTAAATCAACTTCCATTATAATAGGTTTTTATTTAAAAAAATTTCAAAAATTCTCACTAGTTCAGGTATATAATGCAAACCTAGACTTCTAAAAACTTTCCACAAGTTTATAGGTTAATGTTATTGAATTTTTACTGTTGGGTTAAAATTAAGACAACTAAAATATGAACTGAGGGACTGTTAAGAGTACTGTATGTCCAAATACCTCTTGGACCCCTTGATTGCAGAGAGAGGATTCACCAAATGATGCAAGACAGACTTTCAATCAACCCTTTTTATTAGATAATTGGCCATTTTCAAAATACAAACAGGCTGTTTGAGGGGATCTAGATTCAAAGCTCTGACTCCTATAGCAGAGGACTGTGGTAGTCAACTGATTTTGGGGCGGAGAAGAGCTGGGGTTTTCATATATTGCTAGGCTTGGAGGCAGGTTCTGGCTATGTGCATTATTTAAAGTACAGAAATGCAAGTATAGATGGCAGGAAGAGGTCACAAGTCCAGTCAGGAACTTTGTATACAGCAGTATTAGCTTTGAGGTTAAGAGATACCCATAGAATTTTATGGAAACTCTGTAGCAAGTCAGTATCAGGTAACTCAATGTCTGCATGCTTTGTTCATGATTCTTTCAAAGCAGGAACCAGATGGCTGTGTCTGGTTCATTGCCAAAAAGTGGTGAAACATAATCAGATTTAAAACCAGAGCAAAAAAGAGGCAAAGGCAGATAATGCACAAGTGCAAAAAAAGTCAAGCCTGACAAAATGCAACTTGTAACAAGGAAAACCCTATTTTTCTACTTAATTTGGAGAAAAAGGGTGCACACTTTATTAAAGTAAATAATGTGACCCACAATGTAAGTCACATATAAAGTCTGCTCTACTTCTGTTGTGGATGATAAAATGCACTGAAAATAACCCAGTGACGGGTTTTTCCTTCTCTCGACTTATTTTTTTTTATTAAAAAGCAGTCTTCACACAACATCCATTGTGAGGAAACACTATTCTCTTTTTATTCATCACACCTTCTCTTCACATATTTCGTATGTCTTTGAATTTCGATTTGCGCACAAGTTTCTGTAGTGCTTTCAGGGTTCCTACTTCACACAACATCCATTGTGAGGAAACACTATTCTCTTTTTATTTATCACACCTTCTCTTCACATATTTCGTATGTCTTTGAATTTCGATTTGCGCACAAGTTTCTGTAGTGCTTTCAGGGTTCCTTTTCAATTGTGTCATTTCGTTGCTTTAAAATTACACAATACACTATTCAAGAAAAATTCAGAACAAAGAAAATTGTTAAAATTTTAAAACGAGAAAAAATTGTGTAACGTAAATTTTGTTGTTGCTGAAGTTCATCAGATTGAGAAAGGGGAACAGGAATGACTAAGAAGTACAGTAGGTTCAGCTTCATTATTCTGAGGGTCAAACATTTTTACTTCTTTTACTTCTCATGTTACAGTACCATTCAATAACCTCATCTTCATGTTCAAATTACTGTAGCTTCAATCGCGGGCGTGAACATCGCGCGACATCTACCCGAAATTCCAGAAAGATTCGCAAAAAAAAAAAATCGCAGTTACTTAAATCTCTCTCATCTTTCCGGGTCAGAACTCAGAACCAATATAATTTAAGCACGAAACTCACTCCCTCGAAACAGCCAAACATCGCAAAGAAGCCCCTCCGTGAGCAGAAAGCCGATGATGCAACGAATTCGTGTTCCAGTTCCACACGCACACTTGCGAATCCTCCCCAGCAGAAGCAACCAACATGCCTCCGAGAAAATCCGCTGCCCAAACCCGGGCACCGTGTCCATACAACGCCGGTGAACATTGAAATTTCGCAGAACTCCACGAATCTCCTTCTACTCTAGTCCAAATCCTCACTGACCGATCGTCCGAGGTGGACAGGAGGTACTTCCTCGTGGGATCGATCTGAACGTGGAACACGATTCCCTGTACACACGTGGATGAATTTAACATGCAATGAAGCACGAATGATATACTGTATATTTGCATAAATACGGTATTTCAACAAGAGTCCGTTTTTTTGTGTTTTTTTTACTAGCGACGATGAAAAAAAAATTCTGTCAATAATGTGACTATAAAATAAAGTAGAATTATCTACAGTGGTGCCTCGCCTAACAACCACAATTCATTCCTGTGCGGTGGTTGTTCGGTGAAACGGTACTAAGGCGGGTCACGCATTCCCCTAAGAATTAATCTAAAACCCATTAATTGGGTCTNTTGGGTCTTCAGAAAAATAAATCTGGCAGAAAAATGTAAAAATTTGCCTAAATTTTTGAATAACAAAGCAAAGATCCCTTAAAACACTGCTAAAGTTCATTAAAATGCTTTCGCTTATTAAATTTCCTTGCTCTCTTTCAAAAATAACCCACAAAATTAATAGCAATTCATATGTGACATGTATTAGCACAGCAGGAGTCAATCCTCCTCTATAACTTTGCATAGATGTCACTTGTACATGAAGCCATTTTCAGCCTGTAATATCACCAATTGCAATTTCCTTCCATTCTTCTCACTTTCCCTCAACAATAATGCTTGAGAAAAAACCATTTTTGTTAAGGGAAAGAAACAAAAGCATAAAATTTTTTTTTCTAAATTAATCAATATAAGGGAAGGCCAGCAAACATTTGCTAAGCAGGTCAGTGGTTGTTATGCGAGACATTTTTTAGCGGTCGTCAGGCGAGGCACCACTTAATATTTTCGGAAATGTGCTGTTTTAACATGAGTTCTTCTTTTCTACCAACGCGAAGAACACGTATATTTCTCGACTATTTTCACTGAAATTCCAGAACACCTCAAGAAAAGAAGCGCTGAATCATTTCGTGGGCGGCAAACAGGAACTTCACACAACATCCATTGTGAGGAAACACTATTCTCTTTTTATTCATCACACCTTCTCTTCACATATTTCGTATGTCTTTGAATTTCGATTTGCGCACAAGTTTCTGTAGTGCTTTCAGGGTTCCTCTTCAATTGTGTCATTTCGTTGCTTTAAAATTACACAATACACTATTCAAGAAAGATTCAGAACAAAGAAAATTATTAAAATTTTAAAACGAGAAAAAATTGAGTAACGTAAATTTTGTTGTTGCTGAAGTTCATCAGATTGAGAAAGGGGAACAGGAATGACTAAGAAGTACAGTAGGTTCAGCTTCATTATTCTGAGGGTCAAACATTTTTTCTTCTTTTACTTCTCATGTTACAGTACCATTCAATAACCTCATCTTCACGTTCAAATTACTGCAGCTTCACTCGCGGGCGTGAACATCGCGCGACATCTACCCGAAATTCCAGAAAGATTCGCAAAAAAAAAAATCGCAGATACTTAAATCTCTCTCATCTTTCCGGGTCAGAACTCAGAACCAATATAATTTAAGCACGAAACTCACTCCCTCGAAACAGCCAAACATCGCAAAGAAGCCCCTCCGTGAGCAGAAAGCCGATGATGCAACGAATTCGTGTTCCAGTTCCACACGCACACTTGCGAATCCTCCCCAGCAGAAGCAACCAACATGCCTCCGAGAAAATCCGCTGCCCAAACCCGGGCACCGTGTCCGTACAACGCCGGTGAACATTGAAATTTCGCAGAACTCCACGAATCGCCTTCTACTCTAGTCCAAATCCTCACTGACCGATCGTCCGAGGTGGACAGGAGGTACTTCCTCGTGGGATCGATCTGAACGTGGAACACGATTCCCTGTACACACGTAGATGAGTTTAACATGCAATGAAACACGAATGATATACTGTATATTTGCATAAATACGGTATTTCAACAAGAGTCCGTTTTTTGTGTTTTTTTTACTAGCGACGATGAAAAAAAATTCTGTCAATAATGTGACTATAAAATAAAGTAGAATTATCTACAGTGGTGCCTCGCCTAACAACCACAATTCATTCCTGTGCGGTGGTTGTTCGGTGAAACGGTACTAAGGCGGGTCACGCATTCCCCTAAGAATTAATCTAAAACCCATTAATTGGGTCTTCAGAAAAATAAATCTGGCAGAAAAATGTAAAAATTTGCCTAAATTTTTGAATAACAAAGCAAAGATCCCTTAAAACACTGCTAAAGTTCATTAAAATGCTTTCGCTTATTAAATTTCCCTGCTCTCTTTCAAAAATAACCAACAAAATTAATAGCAATTATACTCCATGCATATGTGACATCTATTAGCACAGCAGGAGTCAATCCTCCTCTATAACTTCGCATAGATGTCACTTCTGCATGAAGTACATGAAGCCATTTTCAGCCTGGAATATCACCAATTGCAATTTCCCTCCATTCTTCTCACTTTTCCTCGACAATAATCCTTGAGAAAAATCCATTTTTGTTGAGGGACAGAAACAACAGCATAAAATTTTTTTTCTAAATTAATTAATATAGGGGAAGGCCAGCAAACATTTGCTAAGCAGGTCAGTGGTTGTTATGCGAGACATTTTTTTAGCGGTCGTCAGGCGAGGCACCACTTAATATTTTCGGAAATGTGCTGTTTTAACATGAGTTCTTCTTTTCTACCAACGCGAAGAACACGTATATTTCTCGACTATTTTCACTGAAATTCCAGAACACCTCAAGAAAAGAAGCGCTGAATCATTTCGTGGGCGGCAAACAGGAAGATTTCCTGATATAGACGCAATTTACGCGAATTGTATACATTTGCAAATACCAGCACTTTTCTAGTTTTTTAGCTTCTAAAATTGAAAAAAGTGGTGCTTATATACTCGCGTGAATGCGGTAGGTTCATCAACCAGCAAGTGTTGTTTTTTTCTTTCTTAATCAAACAGCGTGAATTTGTCCTCACTTGATGACCTTTCAACCGATGTAAAATCACGGATTCCTTGTCTTCATTTCCGCAACACGACCAGATCAGCACCTCGGAGAACATCGTCCCAGTGATCACGATCAGGTCGTCATTTGCTTCTCGTAAAACTCGACCACAGACACTATAGAAGAAAGAAGAACTCGACTAAAATAATGACGATATAATGAACCTGCCTCACTTGCATCACTTACACTAAAGATTGATCCGTGCAACAACAATCCAAGGCCTTTCGATGATGGTCGACGAATATTTGCACTCGGTTATGCGCGGTTAGCAAAATCAATTCCTCTTCACTTCCGTTTGAGAGAATGTCGACGGAAATTAGCCAATCTTCGCACGTCAGGTTTTCATTGGGCTTTTTCACTTCTATTCTGGAGAAGGAGATTTATCGACATAAACAAAAAAAACTTCAAAGAACCTTACTCATTATCGTTTTTGGGATTGAAATTTCAAGTCGAGATCCCTGAACTCCGGGGTTCTTCGGTTTCGAGTTCTGTCTTTAGAATTTCTTTAAGTTTAAAACCTAACACGGATTCAAAAAAATTGATGTGTACGTTGGTCTACGATCCAACACGTCTGGTTTTAGTTCGGATTTTCCACTTCCATCTGGAAAAGGGGATTTATAATTTAAAAAAAACTTGATCAAATCTTTCTCGACGTTTTTGGGATTGAAATTCAAATCAGAATCCCCAAACTCTGGGGATCTTCGTTTTTTTTTCATGTAACTTTTCCTTCGTCTTCGCGTTCTGTCTTCGGAGAGTTTCTCTGTGTTCAAAACATAACACGGGTTCCAAAAAATAAATCTTCACTTATTGGTCGACAAAAACTAACCATGATTAAAAAATAAACATTGATAAGATGCTCTACCTCCTGTTGCTCGAAAAACTCTCAGTCTTCAGCGAAACGATCACTAAAAAACGATCTCCGAAAGCAAGAAGCCGCCATTTTGCGTCATGATCGACAAACTTCAGTCCCTTGATATCCGTTCCTCTTCGCAGCACTTCAGCCTGATAAACTTGCTTCCCTCCAGGGACCTCGTAGATCTCCAAAATGTTCCCTTGCCCTGGAAAACAATCGTGTTTTCATTTGTAGAAGATGAGAAAAGTGGTTCGAGAAAAAAACTCACCAACAGCAACGAGATCCTGAGTCAAGAAACACGCCGCAGTCACTGGAGCATTCACCATCACTCGTTCACCGAACACAGACATGTTCGTCGCAAAAAAAAAAAAAAGAAAAAACTGTTCCTTAGAAAAGCCTCCCGGAAAGTAATTCGAACATGAATGAGATCCTGAACTTCCTCATCCGACACACGAGGATCGCTCAGCATATTCATATTTTTTGCGCATGCAATTTTTTTTCACGAGGATCATCACCACAACACGGTCCTGATTTCTGGAAAAATCTCTGAAATGGGACTTCGAAGCTATTCCCGCAATTTTTAATACCAACAAATACTAGATTTTTGCAAAAATTTCCGTTAAATCTTAGACCTTGCAATATTTCCGTTGAATTTTAAATCTTTGCAAAATTTTCTTCACATTCTAGATTTTTGCCAAAATTCTTATAAATTCTAAATATTTTCCAAATTTCCGTTGAATTCTAGACTTTTGAAAAGTTTCCGTTAAATTCTAGATTTTTGCAGTATTTCCTTTAAATTTTAGATTTTTGAAATATCTCCGTTAAATTTCAGATTTTTGCAAAATTTCCTTCCAATTCTCGATTTTTCCAAAATTTCCGTTAAATTCTAAATTTTTGCAATATTTCCGTTAAATTCTAGATTTTTGCAAAATTTCCTTAAAATTCTAGATTTTTGCAGAATATCCTTAGAATTTTAGATTTTTTAAAAATGTCCTACTTCAAATTTTAGATTTTTGCCAAATTTCCTTCGAATTCTAGATTTTTGCAACATTTCCGTTAAATTCTAGATTTTTGCAAAATTTCAGGCAATTCTAGATTTTTGAAAATTTTTCGTTCGATTTTGGATTTTTTGAAAATTTCCATCAGCATAAGGAGCGTATCGCGTGCAATCCTCCGCATCGTGCGAAGAAAAATCAACCTTTCTCACGAAAAAACAATCACACAATGAGAAAAAACTAGAGCTCGTGAAACACGCGATTTAATCATAATCAAACTGCACGAAGAAAACGAAAAAAAAATTACACTTCATCACTCGAAATATTTACGAAGGGGGGGCGGGGTTTCAATCATCTAGCTTCCCGCGCTTTCTAACTATTTCTTGCAGGGCTGGTAAATCCTTCAGAGACACTTCCGCACAAACTTGATCAAATCTTTCTCGACGTTTTTGGGATTGAAATTCAAATCAGAATCCCCAAACTCTGGGGATCTTCGTTTTTTTTTTCATGTAACTTTTCCTTCGTCTTCGCGTTCTGTCTTCGGAGAGTTTCTCTGTGTTCAAAACATAACACGGGTTCCAAAAAATAAATCTTTACTTATTGGTCGACAAAAACTAACCATGATTAAAAAATAAGCATTGATAAGATGCTCTACCTCCTGTTGCTCGAAAAACCCTCAGTCTTCAACGAAACGATCACTAAAAAACGATCTCCGAAAGCAAGAAGCCGCCATTTTGCGTCATGATCGACAAACTTCAGCCCCTTGATATCCGTTCCTCTTCGTAGCACTTCAGCCTGATAAACTTGCTTCCCTCCAGGGACCTCGTAGATCTCCAAAATGTTCCCTTGCCCTGGAAAACAATCGTGTTTTCATTTGTAGAAGATGAGAAAAGCGGTTCGAGAAAAAAACTCACCAACAGCAACGAGATCCTGAGTCAAGAAACACGCCGCAGTCACTGGAGCATTCACCATCACTCGTTCGCCGAACACAGACATGTTCGTCGCAAAAAAAAAAAAAAAAAACTGTTCCTTAGAAAAGCCTCCCGGAAAGTAATTCGAACATGAATGAGTTCCTGAACTTCCTCATCCGACACACGAGGATCGCTCAGCATATTCTTATTTTTTACGCATGCAATTTTTTTGCGAGGATCATCAACACAACACGCTCCTGATTTCTGGAAAAATCTCTGAAAATGGGACTTCGAAGCTATTTTCACAATTTTGAATACCATTAAATTCTAGATTTTCGAAATATTTCAGTTGAAGTTTACATCTTTGCAAAATTTCCTTTAAATTCTAGATTTTTGCAGCCAAGTTTCCGTTAAATTCTAGACTTCTGCAAAATTTCCGTAAATTCCAGACTTTCGAAAAATTTCCGTTAAATTCTAGGTTTTTGCAAAATTTCCGTTCAACTTTAGATGCTTGCAATATCTCCGTTAAATTTTAGATCTTTGCAAAATTTCCTTCAAATTCTAGATTTTTGCAAAATTTCCTTCAAATTCCAGAATTTTGCAAAATTTCGTTTAAATTTTAGATTTTTGCAAAATTTCTTTTACATTTTAGATTTTTACAAAATTTTCCTTAAATTTTAGATTATTGCCAAATTTCCTTCGAATTCTAAATTTTTGCAAAATTTCCGGTAAATTCTAGATTTTTGCAAAATTTCAGGCAATTTTAGATTTTTGAAAAAATTTCCGTTCGATTTCGGATTTTTTGCAAATTTCCATCAGCATAAGGAGCGTATCGCGTGCAATCTCCGCATCGTGAGAAGAAAAATCAACCTTTCTCACGAAAAAACAATCACACAATGAGAGAAAAACTAGAGCTCGTGAAACACGCGATTTAATCATAATCAAACTGCACGAAGAAAACGAATTTTTTTTTAATGTGAAGTAGTGAGCTTTATAAATGCTTCCCCCCCGCCCCAAAGTTAGTAGATCGAAGGGCGCGAAAGATTGATAAAGAACGTCCCGACCATTTAGGAAGTCTCTGTGAAGGCGTGTTCCTCTGGCCGCGGGTTTCGGCTGCGAAGGGTCCGGTTTCCAGCCGATCGCGTACAATATCTGGAAAGTCGCAGGTACTCCTTCCGGCATGCCGTCCTCTTCTGGAAATCCGTACATTTCTCGGTAAATTGCAGCTGCGGCCATCAGCGTTTCCCGGTGCAAATGAGCTTTTCTCGTCCACGTCGCACTGCTTTCGCCCATGCCTTCAAAAAAAATTTGCAAAATTGTTGAAATAAATGAAATTTGTTTGTATGCTGATGTATTCAAGGAATGTACGAGCAGAGGCAATTTCCGAGTAACATTCCAGTGAGTCAATCAAACTCACTCCGAAGTAAAGGGCATAGATCGAAATCTGACGCTCAAGTTATCTCGTAATTAAGCTAAGATTGAATCAACTCGAATGGAAACGTTCCCCAAGAAAACGTGAAATGTTGAGCCTCACTCATTCATTATTTGAAGAGCGAGTGAGAGGAAATTTAAAGGCAAAAGGTATTCTTCCTTTTAAAAAAAAAATCAATTTTTTCATCAGGATAACACCGAACAAACCTTGAAGATCACGCATGACCTCGAACATGGACGGATATCGCACAACGACCTCGTCCGAGTCCAACGTGAGCATCGTGAATCCAGCCTTGTTCAGCAGCCCTGCCAAATCCTCAACTCGCACAAACGGCGACACATGGGCTGCAAATCCACCTTCACGTTCCAACTCAGCCAATTGGAGACTCGCACGCAATTCATACAGCGTCTCCCCGCCAAACACGGAACAAATGAGAACACCGTCGGGCCTCAGAGACGATGCGATGTTCCCTGAGGAACGAGACCCGAGAGTGTTTCTGAGTGAGTCACAAAAACAGCGCCTATTCACAACATTGTTAATTAAAAACAACGCATTTCAGAAGGCGTCAAGCAGAGAAACGCACTCGTGCGAAAATATTTCTTCAGTTTAGGAAATTGATACATTTTCGTCACAGAATGTTTCATGGCAGTAAAGGTGGACTTCCTGAAAAAAATTAAAAGGACCAGAAAAAAAAGCGTTTCGGAGAGAATTTCGTTGTAGAGAACATTGCTCTAAAGAGCCCACATGGATAAAAACGTGCTAGAACAAAATATTCTATGAGTTTCCCAATTTACTAAAAACTGCGTTATTCGTACTGAATGTGGGAATCAACTTCAACTTCCCTTTTTTAAAACAAAATATTTCCAGCGGATTGTCATAAATGAAAAAACCAGACAGATGTAAAAACGTTTCTTCTTACTAAAAAAAATTAAATAGTATTACAATAAGATTTTATAGATACGATTGTCCTGAAATTTAGAGAAAGACGCTGATCAACACGCCTGGAAATTTCTTCAAGAAATGGCACGCCATGTAAAAAACTAACTACGTAATACTCTACTCCGTTCCAACTTAGGATTGGTGGCAATCCACAGGAAGACATTTCATAAATTTTAAAATAATTTCTAATAGGAATCTATCCAAAAAATTCAAACGGCGAACAATTGTAAATTGTTTTGCAATCTCCATCATGCCATTTTCTCGAAGAACGACTCAAACTATCATCACGGATCTTGAAAGTTACGCATGCGGGTATTTTGCAGATATTGCACGTCACATTTTGCGTAAACGCGGTCGCAGGTATCTTCCTAGTGGTTTTTTTTTTTTTTTTTGCTGAACCTGCCCGTATTTACTCAAGAAAGGCTCGCACCATGATTTTTCACCGTAAATTTGCACAAAAACCTATCCCCTTTTAAAACCCACACCCCAGGTTTTGTTGGCTCAACACCAACATTTTTTTGGCAAATAATACTTTGTAACAGAAGAGCCTCGTGAGAAAATCAAAGAGAATGAAGAATTACATCATGATTGGGGGCAAAACAAATTTTTTCTCTCAATTTTTTCAACTAAGAATAACTTTGGGTACATCGAAATGATTTCATGATTATTTTTCATGAAACCCCACTTTTCTGCCTCGATTTTCCAGAAAAACGGTGCGAGTGGTACTCGAGTAAATACAGTGTTTTCACTTTCTTTTCTGTGTTTTTTTTTTTTTTTAGATTCTGAAACAACAAAAAAATAAAAATAAATAAATAAAATGCTCATTTGCTCAGACGCCCACCTAAACAACGCGGCAAGTCGTTGACCCAATGCAGACTCAGACTACTCAGGAAACACGACACTGAGTTGGGTTCAAAGGGCCAGGCGTCCTTGTCTTCGCAGAGCGAGAGCCGGGAAACGAGTTCCGCCGGCATCTCGGGGTCGATGACGGCGGTGTTGGCCCATTCGGGGCAGTGGTCGGTGAGGACGAGCTTCTTGACCCAGTCGGCGGAAATGTGGCGAGAAACGTGTCCTCTGCCGCAACCCAGGTCAACGACGATGTCCATTTCGCGCTTGATGTCGTAGAGCCGATCCGCTACACGGTATCCGATTTCAGCCTTTAAAAAAATGAGTACAATGAGTCCCCGACATACAGACGATTCGACTTATGGACTCCTGAAACTTTGAAGAAGAAAAATATCTGCTCCAACATACGGACATTCTTTCAAAATTCACAGAAAAATTGAAAATTTTAATTTTTCAAAATTTCGATACCAAAGGAACAAATTGAGCTACTCAAGTTAACAAAAATAAAAAAATTATATTAAAATGTATTATTCAAATGTATAATAAAAAACAGATTAATTTAATAATTTTGGGAGCATTCTCCATCATTTGTGCACAATACAGCGAAGTCAATAATGAATACTGTACAACGCATGATGCAGAAAATAAATCCGCAGCTCCCCGAAATTTTGAATGTAAGAAGCTGAATTCTGGACCTCACCAACACAAATTCAAAAAGGATTGAAACAAGCCGAATTCAACCCGACACCCAAAATCACCGAAATGATAAAGAGATTGAAGCAGAATAGAATCAAGGCGACGGATTTGCGATGAAAAACAAAATCCTGGATTATTACGAATACGCACGAATATTAAGAAAAGTCTTTCCTCGCGAAATACTCAAAAATGAATGCCCAAGGATAGAATCTGACGATATCTCGAACAGCATGCGACCAAAATATGATGACGTTGACCCTCGATGAGTGCGATACATTACCTGTACTTAAAACGTACTTATATTTTCAAAACTTTGCTTTCAAAACACTAATTTTTATCGTGATGCACTCGACTCAATAAGGATGCCAACAAACCCACACCAGTTTTTTTTCGATAAACAGTTTCGATAAAAACCCATCTCCAAGTAAGACGCGCACCCTGATTATAAAAACTGAAGAACTGCAATACGCATTTCAAAAATAACGCATCGAAGAATTTGAATTGAAAAACGACAAATAGTAAAATTTCCAATTGTTTTGATTGAAAAAATCTGTTGAAAATTGGTCCGAAATGTACCATTACAATCAAGTATGACACTCACCTACAATTTTACAATTTCTTGAAAATTGTGTACCTTACTAAAAAAAAAGCACACCCTTCCTTTTTTCATTTTATGAAACAAATGTGTGTAGTGCTTTAGTGCAGTGTTCACCAATCTTTTTGGACCCATGGGTCAGCAAATTTCCATAAGATTTTTCATGCACCAGCGAATTCCCAAAAATAATTTTGGTGGACTGGCCAAGTTTCATAATATGTTCACATACTTAGAAAAACAAAATTTGGCTTCATACACTCAACAACAAGCATATAAAAGTTTCTGCTTCTTGCAAAAATCAAGTTAAGCACCTATAGCTGAATGTCATCAAAAACTTAGAAAGATGGGCTTGAAGAAAGAATTCTCAGAATGAAAAATTAAAATATTATATTTTTGCACATAAAAATGTGTCTGAAGTTTTCTTAAGAGAAAAGCCAACTTTCATTTTTCATCAGATGATTTCAACTGACATGGTCTTTCCAAAGTTTTAGATAATGATAACTGTTGCGGATTGACTAGATATTGTCCACAGTGCAGGGTACAGCAAGGCACAAAAAGTACAACACAGCATACAAAATGCCACGTCATACAAGAAAACAAATTCCAGAACATGCAAACAAATAAAAACAATATTCAGGAGAATTCCAAACATAATGAAGCCTGAGGATATTGATCTTCAGGAATCATTCCACCAAATCATCACTTGATCAAAGGAATTCTGCAGCATACAGTACAAACACAGAAAATTAGTCACACCCCAGTGAAAACCTTGGAGAAGCTTTCCACTGGGGAGGACCTGGACCTGTGCAAACTCATCAGAAGAATCTATAAATCCTGCTCAGAACTCGGGAGAGAAAAGACCTGCATTTGTGTGTGATATATTTTGGCTGGAGCATTTGTGGACTTGGACTTATAAACAGATGTTGAGGAGTTTGAAACCCTCAGGCCACAAACAGCCAATTTTGCTCATCAAGTTTATTTAAATATAAACCAAATCTTTGTGGTGTGGTCTAAGGACCCCCAGCAAAAGCACAGTTCATTGCTACCATTAATAAATGAATCATGCCAAAAATTTTCCACAGTCCAGCAAAAACTTATGCAGACCAGCGCTGCTCCACAGGTTGGAGAACACCAATCTTGTGAATAATGTATATTCAACAACTTGAAGATTTTCTGTCGCACACAACGAATGTATCAGATTAAATTAAACTTTCCACAAAAAAAACCCTACGTGGTTAGAAAAATTCAGGACAGAAGATCCTCTACCACAGTAGTAAATTATCTCTCCATCTTCAAAAAAAGTTTCCCTTTCCAGACAGGCAAATCCGATCGAATTAAAGCAGACGCACGGGGGTCACTTCGTGGCCAATTTCGCAGAAAATTCCGACGGAATTAGCACATCAGCATCCAGTTCTCAATCACAAGAGGTACTTGTATATTACAAACCAATGGAAAACATTCCAGGGAAAAGAATTATTAAAAGCGTGAATTCGTTCCATCGGCAATTTCAATCAATGGCCGGCGACAAGGGGTCAAATTGCAAACTCCGATCATCTATGTTCTTGACAGTCTGCATGAGTTGATCCAGGACTTTGAGAGCTGACGTCACAGCGTCTTTTGGACTGGCATCATTCGCAGTCAAAAGGGAAATGGTGTCTTCTACTCGGTTCCTCACAGAGCCCAGGGCAACAGCTACTCCTCTCTTGAAGACTAGGAACTCTTTCCGCTTCTCCCTGAAGATGGCCGAGATCTTCTTGAACGTCTCCAACTCTTGCCTCACCTGATCCAGCTTTGCAAAAAATGTTGATTTCTTTGAAAGTGCTTGGCTTTGAAATTATGAGGAAAAGTAGCTCAACAAAGAGTTTACTCTGAATAAATACTAAAATGTATTCAACCTATTCAGCCATTAAAAATTGTCAAACGTGAACACAGTCAAATCTCAATTTAGTGTTGTCATTTGTCCTATCAAATTTTTTAGCTTTAAATCAAAGGCATTGTGTGAGAGGAAGATTCAGTTGAGGGGTTCTACTGTGGGCAATATAAGCTAGTTTACAGAATCATCACGCCACTGAGTCTGTTCTATATGAGAGAATTCAACAAAAAAATGCAAAGTTTAAATGCACTGTTCTAATACTGTATTTCAATACAGGTGGTACCTTGCAATTCAAACTCCCACAATTTCACCATCCCAAAATTTAATAGTCAAATTTGCAGAGAAGTTGACTTGCAATTCAGCCCTTGCCCTGCAATTTGACCTTCTTTGGCCATTTTTGCATAAAAGCTTTCAAATTTCACAAGGTGTCTTGCCATTTGATTGCTTTGCAATTTTACCCTAGTTTGGCAATGAATTAGGGTCAAACTTTGAGGTACCACCTGTACACTGTACAACCAACCCTTGATTTGGTAACACCCCTGCACAGTGCCACAAAGTTCTCTGGAACAAATCTCCCTTCATGTGTTATTCAGGGAAACCAATTTAGTGCCAAATAAATTCCTTTCCTGAATGAAGAATAGGCCAAGATCAAAGAAATTAAGGCATACAGCACAGTGCCACAAAGTTCTCTGGAACAAATCTCCCTTCATGTGTTATTCAGGGAAACCAATTTAGTGCCAAATAAATTCCTTTCCTGAATGAAGAATAGGCCAAGATCAAAGAAATTAAGGCATACTTAAAGGGAATATAATTAGGTTATAACTGGGAATCACGTGTCCATGCTTAGGATTATTCAAAAATATTGTACTGTATATATATATCTGAATTTATGTGATTTTTTGGTTTTATTTGAATGTACTTCACAGCAAAGAGCAACTCAGTAACTGGGGTAGTCACTTTACAAAAACACTTCAACTGATCTTGGAATTGTGTGTTATCATTGAGAGGTTGATACAAAACTGCAGAACAGTTTACTCTTACACCTGATCCAATTTGTACAAAAATCTAATATATTCTCTGCTATATCAAGAATTTAGATGCACAACAGTAAAAACAGTTCATTTGAGCCTCACATTATATTGCGCAGCTTTCTCCTTATGAAACAGGCTCAATGACCAAAAATTCTGCAAAAAAGCCTGTTTTACCTTTAGTAGAAGCCCTAAAATGAATTTTTTTCAATGGAATACTGTACCCCAATTTAGTGCCATTGCTTTTACAGGCACATTTTGTGGCACTAAGAATGTGCCACAATGATGTAAAAAACAAATTCAAACAAAATTTAAAGAAACAGCAAAGCTCTTTTACTAGACACAACATGTGTACAAATCTAATTTATTCTGACTCATTCAATGCAATCAAAGCCCAAATCAGTGCCTATCTTGCTTAGTGCCACAAAATTTGCCAGAAAAAACAATAGTACTAAATTGGAGTTTGATTGAATTTCATGAGTCAGAATAAATTAGATTTTTACCTGTGTTGTGTCTAGTAAAAGAGCTGAACTGTTTATTTAACTTTTGTTTGAATTTGATTTTTATATCAGGCGCCATCATGCAGGAATCACCAATGTTTCCAAGAAAGCTTCCAGTTCATCATTAAAATTTTCAATAAAAGGTGCCATAAAAAAAACAAATGGTTTTCATCAATGTAAATTCAGAAATATATTGTTCAGAATTATCCTGAGTACTGTAATTATGTGAGCATAAGCATGCAATGCTCAGTAATAACCCAATGGTACCCCCAGAAAAAGGCTTCAATTTATTTGGTATTGACCCTTTTTCATTCAGAACAAGGAATTTTTTGCCACTAAATCAGGATTTCCCATACAAAAACAATTGAGGGAAATTTGTACCGCGTAAATGTATGGCACTATTCAAGTGCAGCACTCAAGTAAATTGAAGGTTGACTTTTTTCCAATTTTTTGGCTTTTTTGGAAGGAATTAACTGATTGTCCATAGACTGTAGAAGTCTATGGAAAATTGTGATTTGGGTTGATGACAAATTATACAACAAATATAAAACTTGCACATCATTGTACAATACACAAATTTACTACAGTAGAATCTTGGTACAACGAAGCGTTTGGAACCTCAGAAAAAGATACGTGACAAAAAATTGAAAAAATGAAATTTGAATAGCCATGTGTCTTTGAAAGCCATGGACAAAAAATCCGTTTACGCCTTAATTCGATTAAATGAGATTTCACTATAGTGTAAATAGGATGCCAATCTCATCATGGATTACTTTTTGCAACGACTGTAAATCAAAGCTTTCCCCGACAGGATTTCCACTCAAAAAGCCAAAGATGAACGCAAATTCAAACATGAGGCCATCTTAATTCAGGCATCAAAACTAAGTCCTTCATCATCCAACATGAAAAAGAGATACCTCTTCTTCCGCAATCCGTGATCGGTCAAAATACTGGTCTCTTTCAGAAGCCAATCTCCCAATCAACTGCCTTAACTCTTCCCGTTTCTTCAAAGCTTCCTGAAGTCTATTTTGCAAACTGCGTCTGCTTTCAATGCCATCTTCAGGAAGAAGCCTCCTAGTGAAATTCTCATCATATTCCAAGGGCTCATTCGCGTCAGGCACGTCTTCCCCGGGAAAAAAGCTCACGTCTTTGGATACAGACGACTCAAAGAAAGACGACAACACATCACTCTGATCAGAGTGCTCCAATGATGCGGACGCAGGATTCGTTGAGATTTTTCCCGACTTGCGTGACGCCATGTGCTTAAAAATTTCGCTCAGCATAAACTTTCCACGGGTTTCACCGGCGTCAACGCGAATGTAACTTGGTCTACCTTCCAAGAAAAACCTGGATTCTTTTCTTTTCAACGTTTTTCTTAAGCAGGTCTTATTTCGTGAGCAGTTGCTTCTCTCATGAAGGCACACGGAAAATGTGGAAAAAGTCGTGTCAAGTCGAATCGTACGAATGGATCATACATTATCTCTAGAGGCGACACCTACGCGAGTAAATCGGCGACGAATATCACGGATTCACATACAATATCGTACGACAAGCGTTGCTGCAAACAATAACACTGCACAGAAAACTTCGATGTTCTCCTTCAACAGGACTCATTTTCTGAGTTAGCGTTTCAATTACGAAGGCACGCGAAAAAAAAGTTTTCTTTAGTGTTTTCATATTTTAGACGCACAATTACGTTTAAAAAGTCGCATCGTGCGAATGGATCATACAAAATTTCTAGGAGCGACACCTACGCGAGTAAATCGGCAACGAATATCACGGTATCACGTACAGTACCGTACGTCGGGCATTACGAAAATAAAAACTTCACTGTATATTTCAATGATTTCTTTGAACAGGGCTCATTTTTTGAGTTGGCGTTTCGATTACAAAGGCACACATAAAATGTCTATTGTGTGGTGTTTCTATAATAAAGACACGAAAAAAGGCTCTAAAAGTGAAATCAAGTCACATCGTTCGTACGAATGAATCACGCAGTACTTCGAGGAGCGACACCTACACGAGTAAATTGACGACGGATATCACGGATTCACGTCCAGCACGTCGAGCGTTGCAACGAAAAAGGAACATCACTGAACAGAGAACTCTCGCTCCCGCCTTTTTGAAACGGAATTTCGAAGTGTAATTCACCTTGACGTAGTCGTAATTGTCGGCATCTGGGGCCAAAGCGGCGCGACTGCGTTGCAATAATTTCGTCTGTCTATCGAACACATTGATGCCCGTCACGTTTGCCATGCCCATTGATTGAAAGCCATCAACGAGGATGCGTGAACATGGCGGGCAGCTGGGACCCACGCTCGACGCCAATCTCGCCAAGCCGCGCCAACGCATTGTCAATCCAACGATCTTCTTGCTCCCTATATTGAACAACAAAAAAAAAAAAAGATGCACTGAAACTCAGACTCCATCCGCATGAAAGATTATGAATTTTAAGGGGAATCAAAATTGAATCAATACTGCAAGCTCATTAGATTTGGTATATCTTTAATCAGCTTTTGAGCACTTCAGCATGTGTCCGTCGACAGGCTTTTTTCTACATTTTTCCTGGGCAAAGTTTAATTTCAGAACACGAAAGATCCGCGCAATGAAAAATGTGCAACTCGCACAACAAAATTGTTCCACATAACGAAATTTTATGGCCCAAAGATACTCAAATTTCAATAAAAACTTCAAAATATTATCAAAAATCGAGGAAATTGAAAATGGTATATTTTCTGCCTCATATAGCCTTTAAAATTTGTGAAAGGTAAAATTACTTAAATTTAATACAGTGCTTAAACATTTTTAGATTTACAATTTAACACAAGGAATAAAAAAATGGAAATGGTTTATTATGGATTTTTCGTGAGCGTTTGAATTAATTAAATAATTCACAATGGAAATCGCTCTTAACATCACAGAACATCCGTACAAGGAAACACACCCAGGAACGAATTAGTTTCATTTTGCGAGGACCCCCCTCGTTTATCTTGTGCTCTGATTAGATTTGCTGACTTCAACCTTTATTAGCATTTTTAGACAGCACGAATTCAATTTTAAACTCTTCCAACATAGACTCATCTGTTAGCAGTTCTCGATTCAAGTCGCATTTTCTTTCAATTCTGTTCCAATTGTCAAGAGATTCAATTGCTTCGAATGCTGTAATGTTATTTCAAAAGCCCTGTTCAGACTAGAGAAAAAGGCCCATTTGCTTCTTAGAACTTCACAGGGTCAGAACTCTTCTTTGACCTGCATCAGCGCAGAGTCTCTTTTTCATAGGGAAATACTGTACTATAGTCCATCAGTGTTACCCAACCTTTTTGGGCCCATGGACTGGAAAATTTCCATAAAATTTTTTTGTGGACCAGCAAATTTCCAAAAATATTTCTGCATAAAGTTTCATAACATTTTTGCAGACTCAAAAAAGTGTTGTTTGAAAGATTTTATGGCAGGTAAAGTACTTCAAAAGTACTTGTTTTTCTGCAAAAATTGAGTCAACCACAAGTGAATCAGCTATAGTGGACTGTCTTCAAAAAAATTATAAATTTGGTTGAGGAAAGGTTTTTCAGAATTAAGAATAATTTATTTCAGCAGCTGAAAATTTGCCTGAAGTGTTATTAGGAGAAAACTCAACTTTTATTTTTCATCATATAATTTCAGCCAAAATTGTCTTTCCAAAATTTCAGATGAAGATAACAGACTTCAGTGCTACTTTTGATAAATTTATTGTGCTGAAGAAAATTTCCCGCGGACCAGCAAAAAACTTCTGCGGACCGGCGTCGGTCCGCGGACCACGGGTTGGGGAACACTGCTGTAAATCGTATATTCAGAATAAATGGGATACGGACTTGTTCTCGTCACCGTTTTGTCCGTTGTCCGGGTCAGGGTCAGGCAGACTTTGCACCGGCACGTTGATGTCGCCTAGTGGCAGCTTCTCCGCCAGCCAAACGTCGTCCACAATATCAATCAGCAGCTTCCCGTCGCGCGGCACTTGACTGTCCATCATTCACAAAGATTCAGAAACCCACATATCACCCTAATCTTTTTCCCTTAAAAGCCCGACTCTTCAAGCTGCTTTCCCACAACCTGAAAGTAACTGTCGATGCACCAAATGTCAAGTCAATCCACGACGATTTGGTCTGAACACTAAATTACTCTCGCGGGATTTCAAACTTCCGCAACGAAGAAAACGGCACAAAAAATCCTTGGCAGCTCTTATGCTCCCAGAATTTCTTATTATAGCACAATCAGCGCAAATTTGAAATTGCCAAAGCGCGTTTCTGACACGAGCCTCGCATTCATACTTTCTCGGACAGAAAAAGAATCCTTGATTTGGTGCAGTGCCAACATCAAGAAGGTTCGCTACAAAATAAATGGCAAACAAATTTAATGCTGAATTACCACTTCCCAAAATAAAAAATATATGAACAGGAGGTTCGAGTTGGAATCTCTTTTCGGCAATGTTCTGGATTTTTTTTAATCTTCCAACAGTACCTTGAATCTCCACAAAAAATTATTCAAGAAGATATGGACAATTCCCGACTTTACTAATCAAGACAGGGACAATCCTATTTCGAGTACTGTATTCACTCAAGTACCACACGCACCTCAAATCTTAAATTCAAGAGGGGAAAAAAGGGGGATGCGCGTCATAGACAGGTGTGCATTCTTCAAAAAAGATTCACAAGTTTGGTTATACATTAAACTTGATTCTAATGAGAAATTCTGAACCAAGTTCAGCAGGAAAATTTATATTGAAGGAAACAATTTCAATTAGTTGAATTCAGGTTCAATTCATGCCTGAATTCAAATTTGGGTTGTCTCATTTTCAAAATACTGTATTTCAGTGTTTGATTCATCAATTAATAGAGTGGGTGTCTTCCTTCAATGTACAGTGAGACCCCCACATGCGGATGCCTCAACCTGCAGACAATTCAACATAGGGACACTTATTTTCCCAGAAAAAATCAATAAATAAGGCCCAACATGAGGACACTCACTCAATATAGGGACATTTTGCGATGAAATTGCAAACACATTTCAGGCCAAATTACAAGAAACAAATATTTCCAACCCTAAAATTGATGTAAAAAAAAGTTCTTGGGCATTTCTCTCACCAAATTATCATACATTTAGCTAATAAAAAAAAATCACCTCCTGCATAGAGGGAATTCTACTTTTTTCACTTGAATGTTATTTTTGTAGATGCCAAAATTTCAAGTGTACAGTAGAGATACACTATTCAATGCTCCAAATGTTCTTATTGAGTTTAAAATGTATTCACTATTTCAAATTAAAGTGGCAAAAATTTTATTCAGGGAATTTTAAAGAATATTTCTTCCACAAAAAACCAATTAAAAATTATATAATATGAGTCTATGGGAAAGCAGGACTCAACTTAGGGACATTTTGACTTGGGGACACTCTCTATGCACCAATTATGTCCGCATTTTGGGGTCTCACTGTACAATTTCATCTGAATTTTTTACTAAAAAACCTGGTGCGTGTCTGACTCAAGGGCGCGTGGTACTCTCAGCAAATACAGTTTACGAAGACTTTGCCAAGGAAAATGTTTCATCCTCTCAAACTTCAAAAAGCTTCAAGGGAACAAAACAAGAGCAGGAGATCTCATAGAGCTGCGCAAGGAAAAACGGTAAAAATCACATTACAGGATTCGAAAAATACACACTTTTGAACCAAAACAGGGGTGTCTCACAGCAAAAATAAAACTCCAACCATATTCATGTATCACATCACGCTTCACCAGAGCGCGAAGATCAGAAACCGAATGTAGGAATAAATCACTCCGACGGCACAATACGCTGAGACCAGCATCAACGGCAAAAACTCCATCCGGTCTTCGAATAGATACCCGTGCAACAACGAGTAATAAAACGCAACCCCCACAGCACCCAAAAGGAACGCAAAATCAAAAACGTCGCTCCACTCCCAGCGTTTCTTCCCGGCTTCATCGCAGCGTCCCCAGCCATGGATTTCCTCCAAGATCACGTAATTCATCGACACACTCACACCCCACAAAAAGAACTTCAACACGTTCTCCATAGGTGTGAAAAGCAACGGAAACAAGGACAACGTCGCTATGGCATTCAGAAACCAGTAAATCTTCGCTGCTCGCGAATTCCCCGCTGCGAGTAATGCCATCGGGAGCGTGATCATCAAAATGGCTTTCTCGTGCACGTGCCAGCCGAATAGAAACGAGGCCCAAGCGCATAAAACCACTGATTCAACGAACTTTGGCCAAACCGGGTCCTTCAAAACAGGTATCAAGGCAATGAGGATGAACGGAGCAGTGAGTGCGAAAGTCGTCGCTGGAGTTACAGAAGGTAGGAATTCGTGATCGAATTCTTCGACGAGCCCGCTGGTGGAAGAAGACAACTTTTCATGCGATTCTTCTTCGGGTTCTGAGGACAGGTCGTCGTCTGAACATAAATGGGCTTCGTGGAGTTTGCTAACACCAATTAGAAACTGGAACCAACGCGTCAAGGCATTGTAGCTCGATCGAGGATTTTCCCGGCTTTTCATTCGCTTTGCTTGGCTTGATGGATGTCTTTTTGCAGATCTTCCAGGATTCCAAGCAGGAAAATTTAACGACATTTCAGGTTTCTCGCTCTATAAAAAACAATGTAAAAAAAAAAAAAGATCTTGAAGCAGTGGCATTGACGAGGTCCGGATTTTTCACAAATATCCTAATGATTCACTTCAACGTAAAAATAAAGGTGAATTTCATTGCAGTACAACTGAATCTGGATAACTCGCACCTTTCGTAAGCCAAAGGCTTTCCTTCTCAAATTTTAATTACTCACGTTTTCTGGAGGCCTTTTATAGTTTAATTTATTTACACAGGTAAGAGAAAAGCAATCGCATGTCACGATGTGTTTTAAAAAGAAGTAGAAGACTAATTGGACAAATGAACCCTTACCTCCAAGTTTACCATCCTGTCAATTCCTTTAAGAAGCAATTCAATGCCTAGAACATCACTAATTAAAATTTCCTTTTATTCTTCTTAATTTCCCCGACAAAGATGCTCGTTCCCGAAACTCGAACTTGTTTGCTGGTACTTTAAACTTCGTCTTAGACAGGTTCAACAGTGTAATCGGAGAAGGATAATTTTACTGCACCTTCAACTTGACTGCAAATAAAATCTAGCCCAACGATTAAACTCACGAAGCACTTCATCATCACGCAAATACACACTTGGTCAATTTTAATACGCGAAGCAGGAGTGGATTCGTTCAAGTAGATGTCACTTCAACCCCTTCGGAAATTTCTACTGAGCCATCTTGTCTGAGTAAGGGTTCCGTACTTCATTGCCTTCATGACAAAAAGCAATCTTTCTAAACTATAAATGACTCCCTTTCAACACACACATTCTTTTACAAAAACTGAGATCATACTGACTATCTTCAAAGCGATCTTCAGTGAACTCACCATTAGTGATTGGAAGTGCTGCTCATGCCAAGAAACAGCTTTGTCCACAGTGTTATACAATGCCCAGAAATTAGGCGCCCAATAGGCATGCGTCAGTCCACGCTTGAAGGGAAATAACCTACGGCAAAAAGGGCGTCGTGACACATAAAGAACACTCAAGACATATTTTTAAAATACAACCTTTCCTTCAGTTGTTCACCCTGTCCAGTAGCAAAAAAAGGACCGAGAGACACAGCAAAAACACTGGACACGATAAGTCCCAGTGTGAGAAACGCCTCCACGTTGAAAGATTTCAAAAATCTCACAAAGGAATCGGGCTCATCCGACTTCTCTTTAGTGTTCTTCGTCTTTGCAGAGCGTTTCACCGGCGATGCGAAGCATTCCGTTCGCAACAAATAGCAAAAAAATGCAGGAGCAATGTACAGGTAAATGTGTTTCAAATTCAGCAAAACGGCGAAAAGGAATGCTCCCCAAAACGGCTTCCCACTCATCAAGCAATAAATTGACAGGAATAGAACTCCGTTCAAAAACCTAGAACACACAAAAATCCGCCTTCAAAATTTAAACAAAACAACAACAAAAAAACGATAGGCGGGAACAGTATAGAACGAATCTCACCCGTTGTACTGAAAATGCAGATGATCCACAATGAACAGATTCACGTCGGCGAACAACAAGGCAGTGGTCATCATCACAGATTCAGAGAAGCCAAGAGAACTACGAAAAAGTATTCTTTTTCAGATTCAGAACGACTCGAGACATAAGGTAAAAAATCAACAGATGGCTGGAAAAATTTCGCAAGGATAATTCAAAATAAGTATTTGGTTTCTGGGAGAACGATTCAGCTCTCGATAACACATCAATCAACTTCACCAGAGTTCCTTTCAAAAACAAACCTCTCTCAGTGACCACAGAATTCTTACAAATATTGTACAGCACATACAGCAATTTTAATCATGAAGGTCTTCGTCAATAAATCAGAATCTCTCTCAAACCACTATGAAATAAATCCGAAGGCTTCTGCTGAACTTTCGGCCGAAGGACAGTGTTTTTCGGGTTAAATGGATTTCCTTGACTACTGAATTCTGTATCATCCATCGTATTTCGTTTCCCTGCTAAATTGTTAACACACTCGGGACCAGAAAAGGCGAGAAAATATTAAAATACACCAACCTCATAGGCACAGCAGCCACAGCACAAAAAAACGCGCCAACCGCGAACAACACGTCAGTCGCCATCACAGAGCCGCGCATGAACGCCACAGTACTATTGGACGCGTGATTCATAGCATCCACGTCCACCATCTTCTCATCCACCATCTTCGCAGGAACACTCAATCCGTACTCAAACCACGCGAACAACGGCGGGTAATCCAGTGTCCACTCGGATCGGTTTTCGCGATACCACTCGGAAATGGGCAAAGAATGTGTGATCGCCATCCAGTTCCGGTGAACTTCGAAGTCCGTAGAACGATATAGAGGCATGCAAAGCATTTTCACTCCCGTCAGGCCCACGACCAGCATAAGAGCCGAGAAGTAGGGTCTCTTTTTTGAGGTTTTCACGCTAGCGTCACCGGAACGCGGGTCGACTCCACATCCCGATGACTTCATCTCTTTGCTTTATCGGTTCAATTTATCTAGATGTCAATAAAACATTAAATCTTCACGCACAAGAAAAATTGTGGACACAAACACTGACGAGAATGAATTCGGCACCGTGACAGAGACGACTCGTCTGATCGCGAGGAAGTTCATTGGCATCTTTATAAAAAGCTTTTCAAATTACGAAAAGCAAAGAAGTTTCAAATTCCAGCGACTCCGTCACTTCTTCGTGAAGTATTAAACAATACGAAGTGGCAAAAAATTGTGCAGGGGAAAATTCAACACCTTTGGACACCTTAAAATTCAAATGCAGCACATCAAAAATCGGTGGTGAATACTTCGGAAAGATTGCCAAAATACTCTAAAAAAATGTACAGCCTTTCGAATGTTTCGCTACGATCACCACAGGATATTTCGGACACCTGTTCAACTTGAAAGTAAGTTTAAATTTCATAATTGTATTCGCTTTGATTTTCTCTCCGATACGGTTCATCACCTTGACCCAACAAAAAAAAACGCCCTGAGACGAGTCCTAACTATCGCCGGACCATAAAAGTGATGCAAACTTCCCGAAAAAATCGCCATGACTGAGTTTTATTGCACTTATAAACTCATTACCAATGTATCTGATTTCGGAACACATGAATAGATCATAATAATAGCCTTTTCGAAAACATTCGCAGCATCAGACCTCAATATTCCATATGCACAACGCCCATCGTTTCTCTACAAGATTTCCGCCTCCTCCAGGACTTGCTATACAAAATAAAAATTCTAATTAGTTCGGTAATCTGAAAAAAAGTACTGGGTCACAAACTGAGTTTTCTTGAATCAAGCATAGTTTTAGAAATTTCTTCCGTCAATGCCAGGTAAAAAAGAAAGTGAGCCTCGAACTAGCATGCAATCGTCTGAGACGGAAAAATCGCTTATGGCAGGGACGTAAATAAATGTTTCTGTTTCTAATTATTCAGGAAATATGCGGCTTGAGACCATTCAGTTCTGGCTGCAGCAGATCCTTCACAATCGCTGCTTCGACAGTTGCCAAAGCTTCATCAATGGCTTTCCAATCCCTATTCCGGAAAGAAAAACAACATTTCACTTCTTTCTCGAAGGATCAGTCACTTCTCCAAAACTTCCGCCATGTGAGGAATGCACAAAATAATGTTACTTTTCATGCATTTTTAACTTTCCATCAGAAATCACACATCACACAAGGTACCACTCAAAATCTCACCTCAACCTTGACGACATAAAAGAAAGAAATAAACATAATCAGAAAAACTCAGAAACAAAAAGAATGCATAAATACCACTGATCGATCGCAACAGAAAACGGCGTTGAACCTGTCCTAGTCTCTTTTCTAGAGGAGTTTCTTTAATTATCAAAGATGTTTCTAAGACGACAAGAATGGCAGTCTATAAAATCACCTAATTGTCCTTATCGTCTGCCCCTAAAGTTGAACACCCTTAACCCTCAGCACGTATAAATGCCTTTATCAAATCAGAAATTATTAACGTGATAATCAGCCTAATACAGGAATCCCGGATAATTATCGCATAATTAGCCTAAGCTAATATTTCTCGATTATAAGCGAACCTAGCCTATTTTTTCTGACACAAAAAAATCAACACAAACCTATCCTAATCAATTTTTTTTTGCACTGCACTCGTATTTTACGTGGGTTGCCAGAAAGATCCCATTATCACAGAAGCGCTCAAGGATAGCTTCAACAAGAATGAACCCAACTTAAATTCTCTGAAGGGAAAAGAGGAAATAAAGTTTTGACTTACAAATGTCCAGGAGGAGCCCGCATTTCCGTGTAGTACTTGATCTTCGGCTCAGTCCCGGAAGTCCTCAAAGTCACTTCGCACTCGTTTGCCAAATAGAACGTGATCATCTCAGTGGACTTGGAAGTTGGCAGGAGTGGCTAGGAGCCCGCATTTCCGTGTAGTACTTGATCTTCGGCTCAGTCCCGGAAGTCCTCAAAGTCACTTCGCACTCGTTTGCCAAATAGAACGTGATCATCTCAGTGGACTTGGAAGTTGGCAGGAGTGGCTTTCTGTCCTCTGTTGAGGTATCCACACCCACCGTTAGATCTCTCACGCGTTTCACCTCAACTTCCCCCAACTTTTCCGGATACTGTTCATTCCAGAAATGAAAACAACATTAGTTAGAATTAACGGATTGAACGTGATTGAAAATTCAACTCACGGAAAAGTCGTCTCCTCCACCGAAGTGTCGAATACGTTCAAATATCCTTTTCGTAACCGTCGGCTCGTAGCAGAGGTAGTAGGAATTCACATTCTTGTGATAGCCGTATTCGATGTACAAGTCTTCGAGTTTCTGGGCCAGGGTTTTGCCCTCCAACAGATCCGCCATCACAGCCAGTTCCGCCATTTTCATACATGCCGTGATTCCGTCCTTGTCCAGCGGCGGCACCGCTGACATGAACCCAATCGCTTCTTCGTACGCAAAAAGCACGACTTTCCCAGCTGTTATGAGCTCCTCAGCTTTGTTTCCCATCCATTTGAATCCCGTGAGCGTTTCCTAAATTAAAAACAATATTGTATTGTAGTCGAGGAAACGCTGAATACGTGCTTGAATAACTACGCAATGCATGAAAATAATTCGCGCTCATCAAGTGAAAATGGGATTCAGGAACAAAAAACAGGATTTTATAATCTTCTCACATAAAATTACCCTGAAAAAAATCGAAACCCGTATAAAATGAACTCATCAAAAACCCCAAACGTGGGAAAAATTCTCAGTCGAACTCGAAGAAGCTATCTCTCCAAATCAGCCCGTGATACAGAAAATGCACTTGAAAATTAATTTTCTGAGTTGTCAAATTTTATCAGCCTTCCCGAAGAACTCAAGCGGGAAATTATGAATCCTGAAGTTGAAAAAACAGACGTTACGGTCCAGCAGCATTTTACACTTTGTGGTCAGGGGAGAATTCCATTTTCCGTGACGAGAAAAAAAGCAAAAACTCGCTTCCAAATTATCTCCAACGGTTTCGGTATTCCAAAACTCCCAACTGAAGTCCAGGGAAATATTTTAAGCGATTCGATATCCCGTGAACAAAAATTCGAGGAATTAGGCACAGTGCATAAAAAACTTGAAGGGAGAAGGAATAAACGAAGGTTATGTAGAGTACGTTTCATAAAACTCACCATGAAATTGAAACCTTCTCGGCGAGCAACCACGTCCAGAAACTTAGATGACACGGCAGATGCAATCATGTAAACGTCAGCTGGATTAACTTCGGCATGCCTCTTTTTATAACACTGCCACAACCAGTGGCCAAGCAAAGCTCCAATTTCGTTGCCATTGAAAATTCGCCACGACCCACTGCCAATAACGATGATCTATCGTATTTCAATATCATTCGAATAAATGAGAGAATTATGAAATTACTCTTTCGTTTTTTCAGCAACAGCCATTCGATCGGCATCCGGATCATTAGCCAGGATTACAGTGCTTCCGGCTGCATCTGCGCTCTTGAATGCACAAGCCAAGGCTGTCTTCCCTTCTTCCGGGTTCGGGAACGGAGCTGTGGGGAAATCCGGATTCGGGTCTTTCTGCTCAGGAACCTCAACGAATGGCTGAGGAAAAAAGAAATTTCATTCTTCAACCCGTATCTTTCAGACCCAACGCCAAAACCTCGTTTTTTTGTGGCAAATTTCGCCTGACCCACACAACTGACAAAAACAGAAGAACTAAACAAATTTTTCACTTATGAGCGCTGAACTCGCATAACGTTGACTACTCTACTCTGACCCAACCCAACATAAGTGGAACAATTTCAACTGAACTCAAGTCAGAACTACGGAGATATTAGAACATTCAAGAAACTAAATGCAATGCAAAACAAAATCACAGAGTAGGGGGATTCATGGGTACAAATACCCGAATTATATGCACCTGCATTTTTTAATAAATACGAGGTACCAAAACAAGTTTCGTATCTCAATTCATGAAACAGTGTCTTACTTTGAAGCCACAGGTCTCAAATGCTCTGACCATGGTGAGCTGCGAAACGCCATGAATCGGGGTGAATGTGAACTTCAGGGCGGAATCTGAATTCTTCGACAAATCGATCATGGATTCCTTCAGACGGGAGAAATACGTTTCCTCCAACTAGAAAAAGCAGAGTGATACGAAAACGTGAAGAAATTAAGGTTTTGCTCATACGCGAAGATAATTTCTCACCGAAGGTAGAGGTGACAAAAGGAGAGGGTTCGTTTGCTCAAGAATGGACAGATCCCAGGACGACTCCAAAGGTTCCAAACATTCCAGAATACTCTGCTGGATATTCTTGTCGTGTGGTGGCAAAATCTGAGATAAGAAAGAAACCAAGAGAAAAATTACCACTTTTAGGAAACGTCGTTTGATAATGTTCGCAGCTTATTTTTCTGTTTCAGTCTCAACCCGATAAGCCGCCACTTTTGGCAACCACCAATTCATTTTCATTTTGAAAAACAAATCTTCTCTTACGATAAAAGCATGGAAAACCCTGTAACATGGTCATTCGCCAAAATTATTGAAAACTCGAATATTGTCCTGAAGTTAATTTTGTCTTCAATAGCCCGCCAAAAAGATTCAAATTTCTCCGAGGGGTCTCCAATTAAAATATAAACAAGGATGGAAAGATGGCATTATTTAATTATTGGGAACATTCGCTGGATATAATTTAAGCATACCAGAGTTATTTTGATTGCTTTTTTAGATGAATAATAATAATATTTTCTTTATACCTGTACAGTACTTAATTCTTGTACCATTTTATATTTTCGGATAACCCACCAAGCCCTTCTAAAACGGCACAAACTTCACAAACAAATGGTAGCGGCTAATCAGGTTCGATAAAATTTCATTTCAACGACCGATTTTGCTTCCCTAAATGTCAGGCAGGTTTCGCCTGGCCCAGGAAATCTGACCCAAAACAACGAAACGCGGAGACCCAAAATATGTACGACGATTCAGGCGACACCTATGTGTTAGAAGAGAAAATCCCCCCGCGAACTTGGTGCCCAAAATAAAATACAGTAATGCTGGACTGAATTATTTATCCCTATAACAAGTTCAATTTCACTAGGTGGACATCATAGCAAGTTTGTGATTGAAAACACCCATGATTTTTCGTCTGAAAAGAAAAAAAAAGCTCGGTTTCCGACAATTACATAGGTAAAGAACAAACCTGCGCAGAGTTTTCCCAGTACACCTTATATCCGTTGTCATCCTTCGGATTGTGTGACGCTGTTACCATGACACCACAACAGGTCCCGAAATGCTTCACTCCGTACGCAACGAAAGGCGTCGGACAAATGTCAGGAAAGAGATACACCTTCACTCCCTGCCTCACGAAAATTGCTGCAACGATTCTTGCCCAGCTACAAAACAAGGCCATACCAAACTTGATTCTCTACAACTAAATTCTCTTTAAAAAAACTTTCTATTCCCCTGAATTTTGTTGTCGGGAGAGTTCGCCTGTAAAACGTGGCACAGTAGAATCTGGTTACAACGAAGCCTTTGGGAAAAGCTATGAACGAAAATTCGTACAAACAAAATTCAAATAACATCATGGCGGGACCAGAAAAACGAATTCTGTTCAGGCATTAATTTGTTTTAACGAGGTTTCACGACTAGCTTGTATGACCATAAAATAGTAAATCCGCAAATCTTCTCCCAACAAAAATTCCAATCTGCCGCTTCAACAGTTCACCCTAAGTTACAATATTCCTGAAAGATCGAGAAAATTTAAAATATCTGCAAACAAAACCGAACACTAGCGACTTAATCGAGAATTCCGGCATCTTTTCGTTGACTCACTGGGCACTATGATACCGTGCATCAAAGCCAACGATAATTCCTCGCGAATCCAAATCCGGAAACGTATCGCGAAGGTACTTGTACAATCCTTGCGTGGTTTGGATTATGACCAAGTCGTTGAGCCCGGAAGAACCAGCTTCCATTCGTCCTCGGATTCCCGCAGTACCAAAAGTCTGTCGAGTTCCCAACAGCTTCGAAAGTTCGTCCAGCTTTCCTTCTTTCAACAGTGACTCAATCACACCTCTCGTCTTTTCATTCTGCAAATAAAATTTTAAAAATACATAAATAATAAATATGCACAGGTTCACAAAAATTAAGATTAATTCCGCAAGAGCCGACGAAATGACTGCTCACTTTGTCCCACTTGATCCACTGCTCGGCATTTGCCAAGACGTCAGATCCGTCAGCCATGTCGATCTGCTTAAAAACCTTGTCTTTGATTAAAATTCCACTTATTTTCTGGAATTGGATCGTTTAAAAATGAGCACAGCTCACCCGAACAGAACAACAGAAATTGAATCAAGCACAACAGAAGATTTTGAAGGGCATTTCTCCGCATAATCATTTGTGCTGTATTTCAGTCTTCTTTGGACGGATCGTTTCTTCACTGTCAACATTGAAGAAATATTCAAACCGATTCTTCCCAAATCTATGTACGAACATCACAATCGACTTGACACTTCCTCGAAAAAGACACAGACAAAATGCATACGCATTGATCCAACAGCTAAGAAGACAACGCTCTAAAAATAATATACATTGTAGATTGAGCGAAAGAAGAAGTTTTCCCTGGTTTTTCATGAAGGTCAATTTGATATTTAGTAACAACACATTTTCGTCGAATGCTTTCGGACTAGACAATTTGCAAGATCCATGGATGAAAACGCGTTGAGATCATGTGTAGTTTTTCATAACAAAAACAAAACAAAAAATAAAGCAAATTTTCCCTGAAAAAAAAAATGCGGAACTTCATCACAAACTTTTGTGTGAGACGCCCAACAAGATTTTCGCGAGGAAAATCGAGAGAAAATGCACCCTAAATCACCCCACTAGAATGGGTACAAAACAAATACAACGCGCAACCCCCCCCCCCCTTTTTTTTGCAAAAATTCGGGAAAAATTGCGCATGTTACTCAAAGAAATGCGGATATTTGGCACCAAACGACATTTTTTCGTGAACAAATTTTCAGCACTGGTTGCAGAAAAGTAGGGCGTGAACACAAAAATCGACCTCCCAGTGATAATATCCTCTTACACACTAATGACTAGACTGAGAAGACGACGACGGCTCAACAACTGCGAATACCGGAACAGTTTTTCTCTAGAAGAGTATGAAAAAATCCCCGCGTGTCCGAAACAGCGTTTTCTCGAAATAAAATGTGTCCAAATGAACGCATATTATTTAAAAATCTGTTCAGTACAAGCACATGGCAGTACACAAGAGAAATACAGGTGGAATCTCTTCGCGAAGAAATTCGAAGGACCGAAACAAATACGTCGTTAAGATAATTTCGTTGATTGAACCCCTTTAACATGGGGGAAGAATCCAATCGTACTACAGGAAAAATTCTTGTGGATAACACCATTGTAGAGGGAGTTCACCTGGATACTTTTTTTCAGAAAATGAAAGCAACTAAAAATAAGTTGCTCTTCTGAGTTCTAAAAATTTCATTCGACTGATTCATGCAAACAACTTATTCGGAGGAGATTCTGAGGTGAAAAACCTAGCCAAATTAAATTATATCACAAGCTGGAAGTGCCCAACCACGCATGGTCATCATGCTAGTTAGAATTTTCCAAAGATTTCAAATTAATCTACAATCAGAGCTTATTTAGTAGAATCCCATCATAACGAATTTATACTTGCAACAAATTTGCTTTTTCAGTCCCTGCCACAGCGTTCTTTCAATTTCGTTTCAACAATTTTTATTATAAAGCTTTTTCAAGGTCCGAAATGCTTCGTTGTAATAGGATTATACTACATATGTCAAAAAGAGGGTTCTCAGCAAAAACTATGCTTCATGATCAAAATTCTAGAAAGATTTTTAAAATTTCTATGCTCACAGCTGACTACATTTTTAAGGTCCACCACTGATCCTGCGCTCCGAAAAGTTTACATGGTTAATGCTTTGTTTTGACGGAAAATATTAATTTTCCAATTAAAATTGAAAAACTAAAACTGACTTTCTTTTAAAATAAAATTTCCGTTCTTCACTTTAGCTCATCATAACTTTTTTAGTTATTCAACCAACTTTCAAATTCTTGACAGGGTTGAATGCGCCATTTGCTTTGCCAGCGGCAAAACTGTTCCAAACGACTAATGGAATAAAATAATAAATAAAATAAAAACGTACGAAATGGAAACGCCAACGAAATTAAATTCCGCCGCTCGAACCAGGAGGCGTCCATTCAGCCCCGAAAATCGGCTTGTTCACAGGCGACCTCGGCGGGGAAACTGACGCGGACCGCTTCCTAACCAAAACGTCGCCGCTGAATCGAACCCCGGATCGTAACCTACCTCGGTCTTCACTGTCGGCAGCAATGAGCATGCAAACTGAAGACGCCTCAGATGAGAGACACGGCCCGATTTTGTTGCCCGACCGAGACTTGAGTATCCCGACCCCGGGCTGAGAGGTCTGGTTCCAGCGCTTCTTTTTCGCCCGCTTCTTCCCGGTCTTTTCTTCTTCGTTCGTATGATCTGGCGATGACAAAGTTACAAATGAGATTGAGGAAAAAAAGGCACGCAGAACTTTTAAATCAAATTGTGCTTGAGAAAGAAGGAATGTTGAAAAGGGACAGACAAGGAAATTTCATGGGGAGGAAAGAAAGGCCTCTATCCATTTTGAACTGCATCATGCATTTCTCAATTCCGAGACTCAAATTTGGCATAGGAATGAATTCGAAACATACGCCTCACTCTACATTTTTCTTCATTCATTTGATCTCTATTCTTCTACATTCATAAGCCACTTCGTGCACGAATTCATCCAACAATATCCAAACAGAGAATAAGCCCATTTCGGCAGTGAATATGTACTACAGTAACATGTAAGGAAAAATGCGTTGGAGGGATTTATTCAAAATCATGACTCAAATTTAGCACGAGAATTCATTAAAAAACCGCCTCACTTAACTTTTTTCTTCATTCATTGGATCGCTTTTTTCCACATTCATAAGCTACTTCGTACACGAATTCATTCAACAAAATCCAAACAGACAATGAACAAATTTCGGCAGTAAACCTGTACTAGCACGGAATGAAAAATTGTTTGAAAAGATTCATGAATTAGGAAAACTGATTAGAATGAGAACTAAATTAAAACTAAACTAGAATTAGATGGTAGTTTGGAAAAATGAAACGGAATTAACGGTAATAATGCTTAGAAGTAGGAAATAATACAATAATTTGTCTCAATAACTGAGATATATAACTTTCAATCCACGATTTTTGAAGTTCCAGATTGAAATGTCAAAACTTTGGAACTGACTCTTGCACAGAGTTTTCAACAAGGAATTTATCTGAAGCGCTTTAAAACGCACGACACTATTCAATTCTCAATTAAAAAACGAACAAAAAAGTTCGCTTAATCTCTTGCGGATCTTTCTTGAAATATGTGATCCCTGCTGCCGAAAATAAGTCCCTATTAACGCTTTTCAACACATGAAGGTAGTCTACGGTAAATTAAAAAATAGTAATAATTTGTTTCATCTCTCGCGGACGGCGTCCTTCCTAAAAAAATAAAAAAAATAATGAAGAAATAGCGCCACACTTACGCAAGGGTTCTGCGCCCCAGACATTGACCGGAGTTCCATTCGGCGACTCGACCTCATACAAAGGCGGAAGGTCGTTCAAAAACCCCGACTTCTGCCGCTCAACGGGCTTCTCCGACTCCATCCCTTCCGGCGACTTCCGCTCCTCGCTCTCGTCTCGTTCTCGCATCTTGGGTAACAGCGGTGGCGACATTGAACGACGCAACGGCGTCAGCGGCGGAAGCCGGTTTCCCGGCGGCTTTGCCATCGGTGACGCTGGTCGCGGCGCCACAAAAACCCGAGTGCCAGATGACGGCGGCTCGATCGAGTTCAGATCGTACTCTTCTACTCCGTCGCCAACGCAGTCGTCATTCGGATAGTCTCGTCGTGCCAAGTTTTTCTGCGCGAGAAAATTTTGAAAAATTGAACGAAGCTACGAAAAAGTCACGGACTGAGACAAGATCAATGCAGTGAATACTCTTGGAGCGAAGTTTATTCAAAGAAATTTCTTTTACAAGTTACAACCCAATACAAGTCTTCCTCACACAAATTTTAAAATTTTCGGGAAATTATCATTCCTGTGCCCGAATTGAATTTCCATGAGTTCTAGAGACATTGCAGATGCAGGAAAATGGCTTCACTATTTCGGCGAATCTTTTGATGGCATGTATTCTTCATAACGCGTGCAGGGATATTAACAAAAATTACAGTGAGACCCCCAGATGCCTACGTACAGTGATCGGTGCATCAAGAGTGTCCCTAAGTTGATTCTTGTTTTCCCATAGACTAACATTATATAATTTTTAATTGGTGTTCTATGGAAGAAATATTCTTCAGAATTCCATGGAAAAATTTGTTTGCCACATGAATTTGATTCAGTGAATATATTTTCAACTCAATAAGAACATTTTGAGCATTGAATAGTGTATCTTTGTACTCAACATTGAAATGCTGGCATCTACAAAAATAACATTCAAGTCACAAAGAGAGAAGGAAGTCCCACTGTGCTATAGGCAATTTTTTTTAATTAGCTGAATGGATGGGAAAATGATGGGAGAAATGACAAAGAATTTTTCTTGCATAAATCTTAGGGTTGGAAATATCTGTTTCTTGCAATCAAGCCAAATAAAAGTCAATTTTTGTGAAATTTATTGGCAATTTTATCATAAATATCTGTTTCTTGCAATCAAGCCAAATAAAAGTCAATTTTTGTAAAATTTATTGGCAATTTTATCATGCAATGTCCTCATGTTGAGTCAGTGTACGTATGTTGGGCCTTTCTTATGCCCATTTTATTAAAAAAATAAATGTCCCTATGTTGAATTGTCCTCATGTTGAGGTGTCTGCATGTGGGGGTCTCACTGTAACCCCATATACCGTTACTTCGAATTTGCCGGATTTTCTTTCCACGCTGAAAATCAGCTTTGCAACTTTCGAAAATCGGTTCAACATTTTCAGGACCACCTACTGAGTGTGCGAAAAATATTTCAACTTGATTCCCGTAATCATCATATTAAGTTAAAATTCCGCAACACTATCGCTGAAAAAAAGTTATAGTCGATTATTCAAAAAATAATTGAGAATAGCACATTTTTCTCAAGGTACACATTATCCGGAACATTTTTTAGATCAATTGTGAACAAAATACGGTAATCAAGAGCACGATAACCAACACAAAAATATTAAAAACTTCGCATTAGAATTTGTTGAAGGGGAAATATCGCGATGATTTAGATACAGACGACGCTTTTCTCTCGTGCTTCCAAGCATCGATATTAGACCACAAAATCATCACAGATTCCTTCAACCAGCGATTTTAACCTATCGAGAGTTTTAGAGCAATTTCTGATGCGCAAAATTACACTAAAAAGTATAATAATATCTTCGTTTCGTTAACATACAAAATGGGAGAAAAGTTCTCACGGAAATTTCTTGAATAGGACGAAAAGGATTCACGTCCTTATTCTGCTCCGTTTCCACGCTTTCGACCTCGTCAAATTCAGCACCCGGATTGTCCTTTCCGAGCTCTTCCTCCTCCAGACGTCGCTGACGTTCCCGGGCACGAGCCGCTCGAACAACTTCCTCTTCCTGTCTTCGTTTGACAGCGACTTGAACTCTTCCGTCCAACTCCGCGTAATCCTTCTTGACGGTCTCCAACAGCCACCTGACAAGAAATTAGTTCAAACATCGAGTTCCATCACACGAGACTTTTATTTTTTAGCGTAATCCTCAACGTGATGGCCACGAACAAAGCTTCACTGCGCGAAAATACCGGGGAAAAAATCACTGTACGGTCGAATTTGAGGGAACCCGAAAAAATCGAGTAAGAGGTTTCCATGACGGGAAGTTGAGGAAACTAGAGCTGATGATGCTTGAGACTGGAAAAAGTTCGAGTTTGAAAGGTTTGAGATGAAGAGGTCTCACTGTTGCAAAATTGATTCCATTAATAAAATGCTGAGCAAGGTTTTTTATGTCACTGTTGTACCACAAGCTCGTGCTCCAGTGCGTTAGAAATCTAAAGGGTGCAATTTTTCCAGTGAAGTGGAGATTTATATCACTGGAGAAAAAGTTAGGTTGGCAAAAGTGAGTATAGTTCAAGATCCGTTGGCTGCATCAATCTTGACGTGATTAAGAAAAGGAAAGATCTTTAGCTTTACTTCAAGACTGCGTACAATGTTCCAGGTCGAATATCGAATGAGATACAGCATACGCTGTAGTGTGTCGCAATGCAAGTTATTTCGTCATGTGCAAAAAGATTTCTCTGGCACAGCAAGTATTTTTTGTTGCCTCAGAAAACGTGTTTCATCATGAACTTCACGGTGATTTCATTTTCCGATTGTGCTGTGCGATAGTTTTTTTTTTATACGCGTGAGAGAAAATGTAGTCTTCAGAGAATATCCAAGGAGAGATGATGCTCATGATTTCCTCCTTTGTAAGGCCACACATGCAAAGAATAATTTTAAAATTAAACTGCTACTAGGCTGCGTAACCGACTGGGCACTCTCATGTTCCTTTCTCTGTATTTTCAAGCATTTAGATCTGCAATATCTGACTATACTAAAATTCCTTGAGCACTCTGTATTTATTCATCGATTGATAAATAAGCTTTATTTGCCGCTTGTCAGGAAGTCATAAGGTTCAAAACGTTTTGCCCCATCCCCCTTCCCCAGATAATCATCAATCGAGTGAACAATTCAGAAATGATTTGAAGATAAATCATACAGAGCTAACACTTTTTCTTGATCTTCCAAGATTTCCGAGGAAACCTTTTTTTTTTTAAATTGTGAAAAATCGCAAGTCTTTTAAAAGTTTAATTCTGATGGTGTGGAATGCTGGGCCCAAGAAAAGAAAGCGTTCTCGTGATTTAGTCATCAATAATTTACACTGCAGTAATTGCACCATTCAAACACATAATTAAATTTGTTGAAAAAAAAAAAAAATTTAACAAGGTATTCACGAGTGATCGGATGATAATGCACCCACTTGAAGCCCATTCGAACGCTTTTATCATTCTTCATGCTTCGAACCCCGGAACAGAGCTCTATTCTCGTCGGGGTTTTTGCTTCATTCACTTCCTGTTCGAGGCACAACAATTCGCACAGCTCCATCTCATCCATCGCTCCGTCCACATCTTGCTTATTTGCCAGTCTGAAAGTTCGAAGAATTTTTTGCACCATGCCAAATTTTCAAGAAAGATCGCCAATGGGACAACAACAAAAAAAGAAAGATGCGAGGATTTGTTTTTATACTCACAACAGCAAGGGTTTCCCTTGTAATTCCGGGCAACGAACGCAATCAAGAAGGGCATCTCGACATTCCCCGATTCGTATTTGATCCGTCGAGTCCACCACAAAAATTATGCCGTGAGCCTGCGATGAAGAAGTTAAAGATTACAAAGATGATAAAGTACAGCGTCAAACAATCGACTTTGTGATCTTTCAAAGCAGGCGAAAAAATCCGTGCTTCAGACCGCGAATTTTGGTCAATAAAAAGTGAGAACCTTTCAAATAACTTCGCTCGTTATTGGCTCAAAAAGATTTTCGCCGCCATTTTCAAAACGTCACCTGCGTTCACAGCCGCCACATTATTCCCAAGATTTCATTCAATTTTGGCTCGTTACTTTCTGAGGAATATTACGAACAGAAATTTGCACCCAAAAGTTGTAGGAACAGCCCAGCAACAGTTGAAATTACGTCCCAAGTACAAAACAATAGTGTTCTTATATTTTGTGACCAACAGACGGCCAGGAAACTCGTAAAAAAATAAAGACAAGTTTTTTTTTTTTACAAAATCCTCGCACGCGAATTACACAGCATGAAATCATTCCCAGCTAACTTCACGGCTTCAGAAAATCTATCGTTTTCCACACAATCAACACTTTTTAGATCAAACCTCAAAGGATCAGAAAAAAAAAAAACTTGGCTTTGAATTGCTTCTTAGACAAGTTGACAGCTGATGCTGAACTTGGAGGCAAGGGTTTATTTACAAAATTAATCTTTCTCTTCCTTTCAAAATACATGAAGTAAAATTGTTATTGATTTTCCTGTAGTCACTAAAATAATGGTCAAGAAAATTGGAGTTATGGGGATTAGGAGAAAAGCCTTCGAGTTAAGGCGAATTTTAAAGCTTTGTTTCTGAGGCAATTTGGAACAGGGGCTTGAAAAATTTTCGACAAACGGAGTCATGCGACTGATCGGGGTTAGAGTTAAGGGGATTGTGCACTTATTGAAATTTCGTCCCGAGTACAAAACAATAGTTTTCTCATACTTTGCGACCAACAGACGGGCAGGAAAGTCGTCAAAAAATATAATAAAAAAATTTTTTTAATCCCCGCACGCGAATTACACAGCATGAAATCATTCCCATCGAACTTCATGATTTTTAATGCATGACTCGTTGGAAATTGATGAGTTATCTTTCACCAGACGAAACCGATCTCAGAAAATCTCAGAACTTCACCAAGAAATTCAGAGAACATGATGGTCATTACCTCTTGGAAATAAAGCTTCCAAATGCCCCGGATCCCGCGTCCACCGCCGATATCATACACCGTCACGTCGCTGCGTCGGTATCGAATTTTCCAAGTATTCAAGCCCACAGTAGGCATGGTATCATCTTCCAGATCCACTTTTTCTACAGCAAACAACCATCAACCATGTCAAGACACGCGCCAACAAGTAAACAAGCATAGATTGTGAAGACTTGAAGAGAATGACGCAATGAAAATCCGAGACTCTAGAATTCACGTTCACACGACTCCTCGCTTAATCACGTTCAGCAAATGACGGATTTCTCACTTGTCGGTGCAGATCTAGTGCACCGATTACTGGAGAAGTACTGAACAGGGCATCTAAGAGCATTCAACATTGTATCATCTGAACTAAATGATGATGTAGTATGTTACAGCACAGTACAGTACAGTACAATACTTCTACAAATATATTGAATATATGAATTTCTCAGTTACATTTTGATGCAGTAAAAATTTGTCACTAAAATTTGTGTTTTAAAGTTTTTTTCATCATAAACTTCTTCTATAGGTCCAAGCAGTTTCTTCTTTGGAACAAAGAACAAAGATTGAATACATGAATTTCTCAGTTATATTTTGATGCAGTAAAAATTTGTCACTAAAATGTTCGTTTTAAAGTTTTTTTCTATCATAAACTTCTTCTATAGGTCCAAGCAGTTTCTTCTTTGGAAAAAGATTGTAAAAATATTGTTTCAACAAATGTATTCTCTCCTGTAATCTCAGTACCGTAGAGCAGTGTTCCCCAACCTTTCTGGGTCCACAGACCAGCAAATTTCCAGAAAATTTTTTGTGGACCAGCAAATTTCCAAAAAATGTGCTGCAGACCAGCAAAGTTTTGTAAAATGTTTGCAGACTAAAAAACTTTTTGCTTGCAAGACTCCATGGCAGGCACTTGAAAAGTGTCTTCTTTGCCAAAATCAAAAACCACTGAAGCAGCCATGAAGTCAATTGTCTTGAAAAATAGAAAGGAGGGCTTGAAGGAAGGTTCCTCAGAATGAAAATCATAGAATGAATTATTTCAGCAGGTGAAAATTTGTCAGAAGTTTTGTTAGGAGAAAAGTTAACTTATAATTTTTCATCAGATAATTTCAACTGCCATAGTCTTTCCAACATTTCAGATAAAAATAAGAGTTGATAGCCAATTTTTTTCAATTTATTATGCAGCAGAAAATTTCCTGATGATCAGCAAAAAACTTCTGCTGACCTACACCAGTCTGCAGACCACGGATTGAGGAATGCTGCTGTGGAGTATAGACCAAGCTGATTGCCCTGATTCTGTCAATGGGCCATATGGATTATTTGATAATAGGGATAAAATGTAAAAAATCGCACTTGTGCAAAATTACAAATGCATCGCATGATCAAAGGTTTGTGTAAAGTATGTCTTCCATTCCAGAAAATATACAGCATGATGTTTTCCTTGAAATGTCTTTAGCTTCAGTTGACAAATTTGCAAGCGCACCTATTGTTCAAATAAACAGTAATTATGTTAGATAAAACATTCATTCATTTCAAAGAACAAACAGGTGTGTTTGAGTAACATTGAAAATCAGTACTGTACTGTACTTCTTAGAAATCTACAATACTTATATTTTATATTAATTTTTAAAACTACAGTATAGGCACATTTTTGGAAAGTTTGATACAAAGCAGATGCTGCATACTTCAAGAGATGCATTCAGAAAAATTATTTTCATGATAAAATAAGTTGTAACAGACTTTCACTATATTGAGCAAGGAGTCTTGTTTGGCAACAATCCTGCCAAGATCCTCTGCATCATGTTTAATCATGGGACTATATTGTTTTACGTTTTTATTAGAAAATACTGTATATGATTCTTAACAATCTAAAACTGGAGCGTCCATCTCATGCAAAAATACATTTCTGGGTAAATTTCAGGTCAAAGTATCAAGGTGTGTGTCTTACTCACAGACAAGTGATACAAAAGTAAGTACAGTACAGTTGAACCTCCCACAGTTGAATACCTCCCTAACTCAAATGTCTCCCTAGTCCCCATCTGAGTTCCTTTAGAAACAATGCATTAAAAACCTCTCCAACTCAGTCTTTTTCTCCCAGACCAAAAGGCCTCAGAAAAGTTGAATTTTCTGAGACCTTTTGATCACTACTTCCTTGAAATATGAAAAATAAAATCAATGAAACAAATTATTTTATGCATCTTGAAAGGAAAAGAAAGACTAATTAAGCAAATTAACCCCTGCATCCAAGTTCAGCAAGCTGTAAAACTCATTAAGAAACAAGTTTAGGCCCAGAATAGCCCCTTGTACAATTTCCTGCAATTTTTTCCTTTACTTATCCTTGCAGCAAAAATGATTGTTTCCCTAACTCAAAACCTCCAAAAATCTTAACCTCCCAACATAAAATGTTCTTCCTGGTCCCTAAAAATTTGACTCAGAGAGGTTCAAGTGTATTTGTTGCATAAGCCCTTCATAGCATTCATCACCGATTTCCCCAAAACAAATTCTGTCCTACATGTGTTCAGAAACCTCGATTTTCAATTTAAATACTTTCTTACTTTAAAAGATGTCTATGTGCCTGAGAATACCGTACGACAAGATCTTACTGCAAAATCTGATTATCTGCTTTCTGATTATTGCAGAATATGTTCAAAAATCGTGAGAATAAAAGCTTACAAGTGTCAATTAGGGTGGTTCCAAAGTTATCAAAACAGTAAGAAACAAATGCATAAATCCTCACCACCCGCAAGTCGCTTGGTGATCACTGTTTTCCCTGAGCCATCAAGACCAAGAACCAGCACCGTCACCGTCCTACACCAACAAAAGCCCGATTTCAAACCCCAAACACAAAAAAAGTAAACCCGAAATTTCTCACCACGAACGGCTGAGGCACAAGGCACGCTGAAAACACGCTTCACAACCAACCATAACAACGAGATCACAATAAAAGCAACGGGTATCTGCAGAAAAAGATGCATAAAAAATCAAAGTTCCGTTTCTATACACAGTATAAGTGGACTCAATACAATGATCTTATCTACAAGGATTTTCTCTTATAACGAAACTATGTTCGGTCCCATAGGGTTCTCTAACCATGTTAAAGAGGCTCTCTACAACGAAATTCGAGGCGCCAGAAAAATTTTTTTAGTAAGGAGAATATTCAACAACAAGATCACGGGATTCAAACACTGTACAGGTAAATTCTCTCTACAACGAAATCCAAGGGACTAGAAAAAAAAATCGTTCTTGAGAGAGTCCATCTTTATTTCAACGCATAACTCCCGCAGTTCTTTGTCGTTAAATATACGTGACCTGCAATTCATACCAAAATGTTGTTGAAGCTCAATCCATTAAGATGTGCGGACAGGTTAGTTCGGGAGAGATTTAATTAATATACGCCTTTTCGTGATTCAAGAGACACCTGCTCACTATTCCAGAGGAAGGCAACAAATTAGAAAGTGCCACAATTTTATACTGTACAAGTACAAAAAAAGATCGAGGAAATTCACAATAAACCGAGAGGATCAACACCGAGTATATTGCCTCTGAGACCACCCAAGCATATTCAAATTCGTTCTAAAATAAATAACCAACGCTGATGACAGTGGAGTGAACAAGGCCCAGCCCATCTGAAGATTCCAAACCCAGATTCCGCAGTGCCCTTCGAAGTAACCCAGGCAAGCGATTCATTCCATCTGCCATGGACCGGCAAGAGCGTACATATCGCATTACACAACCAATCGAACAAAAAAGACTTTCCCCGTGACCCAACGAAACGAAAACAAAATATATTCGCGATTTTTTTTTTCCTCTCCCAGCGCGGATTTTATGCTTTTATGGCGCGAGAAACGCCAGAGTCATAACACTTTGATCACCGTTCCTGAAGTGAATAATTCAGAGCAGGAATGGAATTATGGATTTACGTCCTTTCGGGTAGTTGGGGAACTCTTTCTTGTAGTTCCTGTGCTTGCCGAGAGCCCAGACAGTCATTTGGTACATTCCCGCCACGGCGAATAAACCAGCTGCAATCAAAAAGACATTTGCTTAATGATTCGCAATATCTCCCAAATTCCTTCACGAATTCAGCGTGACTCGCGCAAAATTTTCGAAAAGCAAGTATTTTACAGTATCAGCAAAAATTTGTCATTTTTAGTTCTCGGGAGGAATCTGCAGAAAAGTCATTTTATGTTTTAGAAGGAGGTTCGGATTAAATTGAGGCGAAGTCGAAAAATTTATTGCACTGAAATAGAACCAATAAAAATTCCTAGCGGAAGACCGTTTCTAGAGTTAGACTCGAAGGAGATATTAAATTAAAAACCAAACGAGCCATGCACTATAAGCACTTCCGCAAGATCGCGATTTTTCTTTCTGCAAAGTTATCCACTTTATTTGTTTAGTACGGATATAATTCACATGCAAATATAGCGTTTCCAATCTTTCCTAGAATCTTTTTCTCTATCACAACTCTCGGCCAAAAATGAAATTCATTAATTTGATAATTAGTCCAAATTACAATCATCAATCCGGTGTGGGGATAAATTTATGAATAGTGACTTGCTTTTGTTGAATACAGACTGAGAATATTTTCAAAATACAGTAGCGTAATTTCTAATTTCTCATTCATCTCCACAAAAAAATTGGTTTTCGGGTCATTTTCTGCGAAAAAGATTGGAATATTTCCAAAAATATCCCGTTCGTACCTGGAAGACATTGCGTCATAACAGTGAATCCAAGCCAAGATCCAAATTCATAAGTGTAGTTGGCACACGAGACAAAATTGAAAAGAAGCGTGAAGGGATTCCCTGTTGCCTTCGGGATCTTCCGCTCTTTCGTCCCAGGTGGACGCAGATCTCTCAAGGCGAGATGAATGCTCAAATTTCCTAGTTCACTCAACTGCAAAAAAAAGCGCAACACAACCACATTATTGCATATTCTAAAAATGCCAATTCCTTTCTGAATTTACTCACGATGAAAATACCGAGCGCAACGTAGGTCTGCAATAAGCACGGCGCTGTGAATAAGGGATGGTTGACATGGTAAGAAACATACCCTGCAAATCCCCAATAATAGCTACAGTTGCGGAACAAATTTTGGATCGGCATTGTTCCGTGTGAGAACCGATGTACGAAGACGGTCTCCCATAATCGCTTCGCATAGTGACCGGTCCAACAAAACATTCCCAACCTATCAAACAATATGGAGAAAGTTTTTACAAAATGCAGATGTCACAATCACGACTACTGGTTTAGCAACAACAACAAAATTGATTCAACACAAATCGATCTTTTAAATTCATCCAAAACCCGATTAGATGGATCTGTATGAGGTTGCAGCTCATTTGAAAACAGCCGGAGTTAAAAATTACCTGAAATAACAAAATTTCCAGGCACAAACAAATGTAAAAATGGGTGAATATTCTTAAATTGACCTGGAAATTAAAGCATTCACTCAAGTACCACGCACCCTTAAGTAATACAGGCATCCACTTTTCTTTGAGAAATTCGTGCAACAACCTATTCCCCTCTGTAAGACCCGCACCCAAGTTTTTTGCAGAAAAAAATTGTGAAATATCTTCTGTGTGTGGATCCTTTTCCCCCCATTCATACAGATAAACTCTCTCAACAATTCAGTAGACCAGAAAAAAAAAAATTTTCAGCGGAGAGGATTCCATTTTTGAGAAGAATTTGCAGTGAACCCCTTGGGACTAAAAAGTAATCATTATACAGTACAGAGAAAATTGGTGCACACGAGATCATTGTACAGGGAGTCCCCCTGGATTTTGTCTTTCCCTTTTCTTATTGTCTTCAGGAGCAGTTGAAATGTGGTTGAAATAAATGACAGCTTCCTCACATTGATGAATATTTTTCTCTTCCTATGCTTCCTGTTGCATCACTGGCTGATACACAGTATTACTAAAAATAATATTGCTTAAAAATTATTCCATATGGACAAGGAGACTTGGTGACACATTTTGTATCATATTTTAATCTTGGATGTACAGGTTCCAACATGTGACAGGCACTCATTTCGAAGATTTTTCATACAAAATGCATCCTTGGGTACCACTTGCAACCAATTTTTCCTTCTCGATTCCTGAAAAAAAGTTGTGCGCGGTACCAGAGTGAATACGGTACTCATGAACACCGCTGGACCAACATAGACTCGAATTACTGTTACGCATCGATTCAAACAGGACAATATTCTTCATGATTCGAAGAAGCACGAAGAAAAGAAAAACAAATTTTAACCGGCACGGAATAACTTACTGAGCAGCGAGAGACATGGGATGCTTGGCACACAATTCCGCATCATACACCAAACCAGGTCTCGCGTAAAACAGCAGATAAACCACCAGTGGCCCAAAATACTCGGCGATAAACACAGTCCGATATCCGACTTGCGGTCCGAGATCCTTCAAGTATAACGTGCCAGACGCAGTCAGTCCGACAGCCTCGAGCGTTTTCCCGTCACCCACGCCTTTGCCCTTGGGTTCCTGCCTGATTTCCATCCGGTCTACATCGAGTTTCCGCTCTTTCCGAATCAACTCCTTCACTTCCGCAATCGTGCTCGTCGGCAGCACAGACTTCAACACCGCCACGGCCTTCTTCGACCGAGAGTCAAGCACCTGCACTTCCATGCTGACTTACGCGCACACGAACAAGAAAAACACAAATTTTCTAGCACCCTGTCAAAAATCGACCAAAAAAAGGCCACCCGAAATTTTACCACCAGTGAAAATCCCAGAGGAGAACCATCGAATAATAATGAACAACACCGAATTAACACAAAGTATAACAAGGCAGATTTTTTTTCTTTTTCTATTTATGAAGTCCCCACAATAGATTTCTTTTTCTCCTTTCTCACCTGCTGCGCCACGCAGTTGTCCAAAGCGTGAGCCCACAAAAGCCGCGGTTGATGCAGGGAAAACGAATGTTCTTATACAAAAAAAATGACCTTAAGAGGACGAGATCGCGAAAACTTCGATCATTTACTTTTTCCTCGAAACATTTCATTCATTTTGCCTGGATCTTCAAAAAAAGGGGCTTCATAACCACTAATCGGCAAGAACCAATGAATCGCTCATTAAAATGAAGCCAGGGCCGCATTTTTCATCCTTACACCGCCTGCGCCCCTTCAAAAAGGGAATTCAATCGTTTAGAAAGGAATTACAATCTGCCAAGACTTTCTTGAAGACGAATTCTTTCTCAGTTATCTCATAAAACAGCTACTGAGACAAGAAATGAATCCACGAAAATGCTTCACAGCAATTGAATGACCTTTATCCTGAGTAAAAATTACTCGTCCACAGTTATTTCAATGTCGACAGCTCGGGAATCGTAGGCTGGCGATTTTTCAGTGGATAAATTCTCAACTGACGTGAAAAAAACCCTGCTGCAAATATC